CAAAAGGCCAAATGTAGGATTGGATTCGGATAACTTCTCCCGGGTACCACACCCTGGCATTCCCCGGATGGCGACGCAGCAACACCTGCGCAACGTCCCGCGGGGATTTTGCGTTCGCCGTGCAGTGGAAGATGCGTCCGTACTCGACAAACTGCGCGCGCCGTGCAGGACATTCAAAATCGATGATTAGTCCTTTCTCGGCGACGTTGATCACAAGGCCGTGCTGCAGCTGGCCGTCGATCAGCACGTCCACGGCGTTCCATGCGTACACGGAATGCTTTGAGTCCTCGTAAATAAGCATTGCTCACAGAGCCGCAGCTACAATGAGACAATGTGATACAATGAGCGAGTCCTATAAACAAGATTTCGAAAAAGCTCCTAAGCTGCGGATCACCTGGACTCTTGGATAATACTGAATAACTTGTGTATTTAAAAAAAACCTGTCGCCCGGAAAAAAACGTTATGGTTATGTATTCACAAGGTAAGGTTTTCAAAATTTTATGTTGATGAATTCACTGAACTACATAGACATGGATCAGAAAAACGCATACGAGTAGCTCAGGCGTATTCTGATCCCTGTCAGACTATTACAATACGCGATTGCCGATTAGGTAAGTAAGTGCGAGCAGAGAAGCGGCTCACGTACAGCGACAAAATCTTTCAAATGATTTCAACGTATTGCGCCGTGGTGCAGTGGTACTGCCTACGCGGATCTAACGACGTAGCCGGGGTTCGATTCCCCCATCGGCGCCTTTTTCAGCCGTTTCTCGGTTTCCCTCGGATTGCGCCCTGCTTAGATAAGTATGCAGCAGTATCACGCTCCAAGCGGCTGCTGGCGGTCGAGTAATCGTGCCCGCCACTGTGGGCGGCAGATGTGAACTTTGTGTCAGCCGTTCGATCCATAATATTCGTCGACAACATGGCCTGTCGAACGCGTCCATTTGTCCGGAAATTATGAAACAGGTTTTTCCAACGTGGTGTAAAATTGTCGATACATCATACATCGAGGACTTTTGACAGGAAAAGGGGCTACTGTTTAGAAAACAAAACTGCACGGCTTACGAATGCGTATGCTTACAACTGAACGCTGCGCTTTATTTTTCGTAAATCGTAATCCATACTGAAACAAAATACGCACAGCATGTTGCAACAAAAATTCTCTGAACATTCCCGCTCCGTTAATAAACAGGATTAATAAGCAGGCGCGATTAATAAACAGGCCTATTTTGCGCAGTTCTTAGCCGCTAACGGGACGGCCGTTTCCAGCTCCATCCGATCCTGCAAGAACGCTGCCGTCAGCGTGGTCAGCTGCGTGGTGTCCACATCGGCCACATTCCACTCCGTCCAGTTATGATCGCGATAGGGTGTGGTAGGGCGGGGATCCGCCATCTGGTAATCCCAAAGACCCTACGATAACAGCATACCGGAATACTGCTGATTAACACTACTTGCTGACCGGCAGATTGCTGACCGACAACGATTTGCTGTTCTACTCTGCACAATTTTGTAGGCCGACGTTTTGCAGAGGCTATTTGCGTTAAGGGACATCAGCGTGCTTGTCGGCTTGGCCCAGGCCACCTGGACATTCGGTCTGTTAGCATAAGTCGTCAGAAAGTCGTCGCTCAGCAAGACAGCGGTCAGCAAGGCGTTGATGTGCTGTATATATAGACGCAACGTGATTCGACGCATAGGACGGACACTCACCTGCAGAATCTTCCCAACGCGATAGTTTCACTGGTTTTCCAAACAGTCAGCGATCCAATCGGCGATGGCCAGTCGATCCAACGGCTGCCGCAGCTGCAAACTGCTCTTCAACACATCCCACAACTGCATCTCCAGCGCCCTCTGCGAGGCGACGCCGAAGGCATGCCGGGCTACCATCGCCTGCAGGTGGCTGTCAAAGAACCGGCACTGCACCCACACCATTCGCTCGCACCGACAATCCACGAGGAGTTGAGCCATGCTGTCAATCAGCCGCTCAGGACCACGAAATTCCCCACCGAGCTCACAGTTGTACAGCACCAGGAGCGCAAGGCGGCGATCGGCGCGGAGATGCTGGATCGGTGCGGTCAGCTGTTGGCATTTGACCAGGTTCAGGTGGCTCAGCAGGAGCACTTTCGTCTGGTTGTTAAGGCATTTTAGCAAACATGCCAGCACCCAGTACATACCGTCGGCGGAGAAGTGCACCGCGCCGTACGTGTGACCCGGCCGGCTAGCGGAGACGCGCACTTCGGGGAAGTAGGCGTCCGTGGTGAGAAGGACCTTCCACAGTGCGCAGACACGCCGACATCGGACGCGCCCGATGGAGTCCAGGGTCTGGAAGAGCTGCACGGATAATTCAACCGGCAACGCCAGTCCCGCAGCATCACCACCGGAAATCGGTGGCCGCCCAGCGATCGCACGGCTGATCGGCTCTGGACCGATTAGAGTTGCCGTTTGAGCTCCCATTCCCTCCTGGCCGCGCGGTAGATAGCTTCCTTCAAAAATCAGCATGACTTTATTTAGAGGAAAACACATTGCGTTTGACGCTTCAAGTAATAAAATCAAACTATTTAATAAATTTAAAATAAAAAACATGTTTTGTATTATCATTTACCATTAGATAGATGGTTTTTAGACGAGGAATCCGATGCCGATTTAATATTGCCGACTTAATGAAATGCCGATTTATTAAAACCGAATGGAATAACTTGCAAATATTGATATAATTAGTGACTTTTGACATTTTATCAGGCTTCTTTGTTTCAAAGTACGATAACAAGTATCTGAAAAGTATCTGAACGCCTTTCGCCGAGCTGATCCGTTTCGTCGGCAGAAAGATTTGTGAAGTTACCGGAGAACCTCGGTCTACCGCCTTTTTAAGACAACGTTTCAGTCTAGCGGTAGTCCGTGGAAATGCAGCAGCTGTTTTGGGTTCACTTAACGCACGTCCCAAGATCATGCGTGACACTAACGATTTTGGATGTTTTTTTAATGTTTAAAAATTTGATGCTTTTAATTAGTGTAAACCTGCGCAGGCAATTTATTATGTATGCTGGCCGAAGCCGAATAAAAACATAGAGTAAGTATCTGAAAAACAAATTTTAAAAATTCTGACTTTCATTGATTTTTAAATTTCATTCAAGTCAACTCCATCCCAGGTGGCTTCGAGAACGGCTCAAAGCTGCTGCAATTTAACCCTGACGAGCAGCTGTACGAAAGTGCTTGTGTTGCGGCGTTTGACGCACCACCGGAAGTATACGTATGGACATCTCGCGATTATCGCTGTTATTTTTGTGACCTTATCTACGTAGCAACTGTTAGTCTGTTATGATGTCATTTATATGATGCCATCGGGAATGCCAGCATGCCCGTAGGCGTGTTGTCCCCATGAGTTTTGATTGCATAACCTGTTGTTTATGCTTTGCTATCTTCTTTGAAGCCTTGGATGTTTGGCGTTTGTCGCTAATATAAGCGGGATTTCATCGCGAGGAGCTGCTTTTTAGTTGAGAGTTTTGAGTCGAGAGAGTCACTAATAAAGTCCATCGCAGTACCTGCTGCAAGAGTTCTTTTAACCTCGCAACACAACCAAACATGTTAAGCCTCGGTTACTACGTTGTATATTCAGTTGGCTCTTAGAACTATTACAATAACCGTAACTCTTCTAATAAAGCATTAAACCGTAGACATTACAGTACTGCTGCCAGCTCCTACCAGTTGCTCAGGCATAAGTGGACGGTCAGCCGGACGCTGGAGATAGTTGAACGTCTGGCTGCTCACCGACACGTACAGCGCGTTGTATTGTCGCTGCAGCTCCCGCCGGAAGATCTCTCCGACACGCTGCGGCACCCCCACCCAATGGGGAACGGTTAGTCGACAGGAGCGCACAAGGAAATCCCCGGGCCCCACCCGTCGCTGCTGCAGCTGCGCACCCGAGGGGGGTCGGCGTATCTGCTGCCGGGGGATCAGCTCCCTGACGCTTCCGTGGGGCCAATGGACTTCCACAGCTATCGCCGAAGGGTACGACCAGCGCTCAAATGGTACAAAGCCTCCCGGGTACCACATCCAGGGACTGTCCGGATGACGGCGCAGGAGCACCTGCGCAGCGTGTCGCGGGTATTTCGCGTTATCCGAGCAGTGGAAGACGGGTCCATATTCGACGAACTGCGAGCGCCGACCCGGGCAGAGGAAATCAATGATCAGTCCCTTCTCCGCCATGTTGATCACCCGGCCGTGCTGTAGCTGGCCGTGGACCAGCACGTCCACGGCGTTCCATGCGAACACGGAATGTTCCGCGTCCCCGTAAATAATCATTGTTCACAGCTACAGTGAGACAGTGCTTCACGCAATCGGCAAACCATGAAGCATGCTCGAGCCCCGAGATCAGTATACAATAATACATATAACGAAATTATAGATCACCTGGATAAATTTTGTGTCTACAAAACAGGGAGCTTAAAAATGGAGAATATTGTTTAAAAAATGAAATCATTCAAATGCAGGGAGAAACTCAACGGAGAACTTTTAAGTACAGCTGAGCTCAGCCCATCACAGAGAATAGCAGCGCTGATTGGTCAGCGTGACCAAGAGAACCGGAAAGGAGGGCGATGTACACACGCCGATCATGTGGCTGCCTCAAGGATGCGGGCATAACAAAGCACGGAACCGCGTAGCCGTGATCCACGAGGTGCTTCGAAAGGACTAGCGGAATAAAGCAAACTGCGTGCGACAAGGTTTCGCTTCAGAAAACGCTGGACATTGTTCTTCTGGAAAAACATGGATACATACAGAATTTAATTCGATGGATTTTTGAGCTACCACATCCCCAATTTCCGCTAAGGAAGCTCTAAAACAAAGATCACTTCCTTGCTGTGCATTAATCATGTCATTAAAAGTTCCAATAAGTCGCACGGACAGAGAGAGCAGTTCCCAGTTGTAACTCGACATTAGTACTCCCACACCATCGTGAATGAGGATTTCCAGAACTTTAATTCATTGATAACAAAATCACAGCAAAGCCGCCAAGAGAAACAACATCGGGCACTAATTATTCCCGACCAGCCAATCTAAATGCTAAAAACACATCCTAGTTGTCTCTAATGTTTAATAAAAGTTCCGAGGACAGACGCTGCACTTCCTCGTTGTATCTCAATACTGAATCTCTGGCGCAAAAACTCCCCCGACCGTGGGTTACCGCTACATGCGCAAATCTTCCTCGATAACTCCTTAAAAAATTTCTTTGTTAGCGGCCCAAAAGTTCCCGTAGTTTCAAAAGCCAGAGGTTGTACTACGTAGTGATCCGCGAGTCCATCGTACTTCCTTACCTTTTGATTTTCTCTTACTTCCGCTGCACTTCCTGGAACACTTCCAGTGTAGGTGAAATTGTAATGAAGAATTTCCAGTGTAGGTGAAATTGTAATCTGCATCAGTTCCAGCAGCTAAAATGCTTCTTCGTCCATCATTTTCTGCAGGTAGGCCATCGTCAGCGCGGTCAGCAGCGTTTCGTCCACCTCGCTGATATCCATCTCCGTCCACTCGCGATCGCGGTACTGCGTGGTAGGGCGCGGATCGGCGCTCTGGTATTCATTCAAACCCTGCACGAACGAACAGCAGATACACTGACCTAAATCATGGACCCGGAGAATTCAGGATTTAACTGAAGAAGCGCGTGCTACTGCTTCTATCAATTATCAATTATTCCATCGTAAAATTCGGGATTTAGAAACAAAAAGTGAGAGCAAGTTGGTACCGGTACATGGTACAAAATTCTTACACATGTATGAAAACTTTCACCTTCGTTGGCTTCGCACACTCCCGAACACCATTTTGCTTTGTTTTATATGGTTTGTTTTTATGTGAGATTTGTATTAAGTGTACATAGGCGTTGAAACCGTTTTTGCGCGCAACATCCGGTTCGGGAGTTATTAGTGAAATAAAATTCCAGAAGTCTAACTGCATTTAGTGTACGGAAAGTCCCCTTGTGGAACTATACCCTTCAAATTTTGCACATAAACGCGCATATGTACGAAAATCGTTTTTTTTAAATTTAAAAAATATTTTTAAAATTTGAAAGATTGCTGGAACCGTAATTCGGTGTAAAAACGATCTACGTGCGTTTATGTGCAGAATTTAAAGGAGATCAATGGATAAATGAGACTCGGTACACCTGAATACATTTGAACTTTTTGGAAATTTCTTGCAGCCATAACTCCCGAAACGGGTGGCGCGCGCCTGTGTAGAGAAATCATCTGATTACAGAATGCCAGAAAACGAAGCAAAAAGGTGTTAGGGAGTGCGCGAAAGAGACGATTTTTGTTCAAGTACACAAAATTTGGTACCAACTGCCGGGGCACTTCCCTCAAGTGGGAGACCTTTAGACTTAAAGTGCAGTTTCCTGACGGGACGATATGAATTTACGGCTGTCGGCTTAGAGACGTTCGGTAGTTTTGGTACATCTGCCAAACGATTTGTTAACGAGTTTGGAAAGAGGATTTCGCAACAAACCGGCGAGATTCGTAGTCTTGAGTTTTTGAAACAGAACGCCATGTCCCTAGCAATTCAACGTGGTAATGCTGCTGCTTCAGTAATCGGGACCGTCGAGAATGTTGTTTTGTTTAACCGTAATTAGATCCTGATATTAATATTCCGCTACTGAATTAAAGTACATCATCTTTTAGACTTAAAACACCGTATGCGAGCTCCCGACGCCATACCTACTCAAAAACCAAGCCATAGGCCTTACCGTTAAAATAATATCATTCAGATGATGCTGATGGCCATCACCCAGGACGTCGAGAATCCACTCCTCCACGGCCACGCGATCCAACGGTCGCGTCAGCTGCAGATTTCCCTCAAAAACATCCCATAGCTGCTCCTCCATCTCTTCTTCTGACCGAACACTAAACGTATGCAGCGCCACCGCCGCCGACAAACTGTAATCCGACATCCGGCACTTCTTCCACACGATCCGGTGACAGGAACACTTCCAGAGTAAGCCAGCGGCGCCCTGAAGAACCCGCTCCAATAAATCATACTGGCAGCTAAAATCGCAGTCGTAGAACACTGTCGTCGGGATGCGGTGGCCGTTGAGGATGTGCTGGATGAGCAGGGACACTTCTGCACATGCCTCGGCTCCCAGCTGCATGAGCACCAGCGTCTTCGTGGCATTACTGAGGCATTTCAGCAAGCACGCAGTGATCCAGTATTTAGATGCGTCGGGCAGCGGAACCTCGCCGTAATCACGAGTGCCGGAAATGCGCACATCGGGAAAATAGGCGTCCGTGGTGAGAATGTCGTTCCACAGTGGGCTGACACGGCGACAACGGACGCGGTCGATGGAGTCTAGCGACTGGAAGACCTCGATCAGCAGCTCAACTGGCAAAGCCAGGTTTCGGTGGCGACTACCGGCAATCTTGCGCTTTCTATTTTTGGAGACGATCGGTGTCTTCGCAAAGAAGCGTTTATCCATCTCGCTTCTCGCCTTATTGTATACAAGTCCCTGTATAATTTAACATTCATCATCAGTCAGAAATTTTACCAGTTTGGTCCAATTTTGACAACTATGTACTAAGAAATTTTTGGGAAACTTTTCGAAATTTTCAAAATACAATGTTTTAGTACTTATGAAGTTTATTAACTATTTTTTGTCTATTCACCGGTTAAATTTACCCGATTTCTAAAAAAAAATTGTAAACGCAAGCACCTACTTTGCGACTAAAATTTAAACATTAAAAAAACAACCAAAATTTCTGTTCTCCAGTAGGTTAAAAGGTACGTGATGCACAAGTGCTTAACAGTTAACACAGCCGTTTGCCTTAATAAAAGCCAAAACTAAAACGTTGCTTAAGAAAAGCAGCTTCTCCAGTCAGTTCACCTATTTTTAAATTTAAAATTTTTTTCCAGTTTTTTTGAAGTGTTTTTCCCACTGTTTCAACGGAAAACGGCAAAAGAAACCAAAATGCAGTGCTATTAATTTACCACTTGTTTCGGCCGCAGTGGGTTGCCAGTGTGATGCTGAAGGTAGACCAGCGTCTGGCTGAGCAACGACGTGCACAGCACGGCGCAGTCGCGGCCCAATTGGCAACTAAAAATCTCCCCGAGCCCCTGCGACCCTTTCCTCCAAAATTGAACGGGCAGTGCACACTCCCGAATAACGAAGTCCCCCTTCCCGACGCGCCACCCCTGGAGTTCCGCATCCGAGGGCGGTGAGCGCACCTGGCTGCAGCGCACCAGCTCCCTGATGGTCCCATCGGGTAGCTGGACGTCCACGCATTGGCACTCTTCGTGCCGGCACCCTCCCAGAGGCACCACCCGTCCCGGATGCCAGATCCACGCGCCGTCGGACGGGCGCCGTAGCAGTGCTTGCTCGTCGAGTGTAGCATAAAAGGAGTGCGTCGAGCTGCTGTGGAAAATGCGCCCGTATTCGACCAGCTGCGAACGCTGTCCGGCGCATCCGAAATCAATGATCAGACCGCCCTCCGCCACGTTGATGACGTGGCCGCGCTGCAGCTGGCCGTCAACGAGAACGTCAACGGCGCGCCAGGCGTGCCATAGGGGGTCTCGGTACAGATGCATCGTTCTACAAGTAGAAGTACTGTTTATTGGCTAATATCCGCTATTCCCAAGTGACGTATTCCTCATTTCTGCCATAGTGAGACAACTGGAGAAGCCTAAAATAATCAGTTTTCATTCAGAAAAGGGGTACAAATCAGCTATCAGGAAAACCGACATATAAATAGATCTAGAGGAAAATAGGAAAGCTGGAAGAAATCGAAAACAATCAAAAGAAATGCAGCCGAGGCCTATTTATATAGCTAACCGGCGTTATGGGCGGGTAGAGTGCGCTGCGAAAATTTATGTTGACATTTACTGGTGGCAGCAGTTACGTTGAATAGCGCAGATCATGCAGACAGGACAGCACATACCGGCTCGGAATGGACAGCCTGTCTTTCTATTGAAACAGAAGGGAACAGGGAAGAAGAGTAATGCAGGGGGACTGAGAAATTTCTCCCCTTGAGTAATGCAGTGTCTCTCTCTCCTTGTTGGAAGATTTCTCCTGGTCTCGTTCATTTCTTGCTCGTCTCGCTTGTTTGAATCGGGTTGAGTCGCCTACCATTCGGCTGACGGGCTGAATGCCGTAGACAAACCGTGCCATTACTGATTACTGTATTTGTACAAACTGTCAAACTCCATAAATGTGTGATCGAATGTTTTCTATACAAATCTTCTCTACGAGTATAACCATTACGGACTCGCGGTGATGACAGATGATTGCTGCGATCCCATAGGGAATCGTCGAATCGACTAATCATAATATAGTAGAACTTTATTTATGTTTCTAATTGCACTGACATTTATAAATGGAAATACCGTCCAGTTAACATAGGTAGGGAAATTAATACTTACCAGAAGCGGCCAACACACCTCCACAGAGAATCTCCAGCTTCAAATGCAGCAGGAAGAAACAATTGAGGCGGCTTTCTCCCGTTCGGATATACAACTTTTTCCCGATCTCCATCAACCGATTATTATATTCACTTCGTATCCGGCCGTTGTCGGCTGTAAAACTTATCAGCACGAACTGCACAATGCTGGTTTATGACGACGAAGCCGAGCCCCTGCAAGCGTGGAACGCCGTGGACGTCCGCGTCGGCGGCGTACTCCAGCACGGTCGCGTCATCAACGTGGCGGAGGGCGGTCTGATCATTGATTTCCAGTGCCCCGCACAACGCGCGCAATTCGTCGAATACGGGCGCATCTTCCGGTGCCGATACCGCCTGAACTGGTGGATAAGGAATGTGCTGGTGCTGCTGCGCCGTCAACCCGACGGGGCGTGGGTGTGGTATCCCGGGAAAATTGTCCCCTTGGGCGTCCACCCGAAAAGTGTGGAGAATCTGAAATGTGTAGAGGCACGGTTACCATGCGGGATCGTTAAGGAACTGGTACCCCCTGTGCAGCTGCGGTTGCCACCCAAAGACGCGGATTTAGAGAAGCTGCGTGTGGCACCGGATGATTTCGTTATCCGCTCCTGTCCGCTGCCCGATAAATTCTGGCTGGACGGATGCCCCCGGTACCAGGAGATCTTCAAGTGCGACTTGAGCCACGACTGTGATGTCTGGAGCTTAGCATTCCTCAACCAGACGATGATTTATCTGCAGGGTCGGACCCGGCCTGCATTAGTAGCTGAGCACGTGGTGAGTTTCCCTGTTTGACATTTTGCCGGCTATCGATAAGAATTTTCGCGGCGCTGCTGTTTGCTTAACATGGGTAAATTGTCCACTAATAATAAAGCAAAATAAATTGCTTTAGTTTAGTTTATTCGTTGAGCAGACAAACCCTTCAACAGAGGGGTTGAAAGAACGTATTTTAGATTCAAGAAGATCGACACAGATTATTCTTCCACAGAACATAGCCAAAAAATCGGTGGATTAAAAAAAACGAATCCATAAATACTAACACAGCACAGTCCCTTCTCATGTTAATCGGGGCAAATTCTCTATCTGATTGTTTTTTTACTGAGTGGTGCTTGTCGATGTGCATATTGAAAAATAAGTAACCAACAGTTTTTTCCTCGTGTTTTCAGAAACGCGTGTATCACGGTGCGAGTAACGCAGGAAGAATGTGGGGCTTATATCGGATATCGCAGTGGCTACGCCGCTATACGACCCTGGACATCCCGGCACAAAAGCGCCGAAATGCTTGCATGCATGTTACGAGTCTCCCGTTGCCGGCGGTATTGTGGTTGGAGGCGTTCCAATCGCTGGATTCCGTCGACCGCTTCCGCTGCCGGCGTGTCTGTCCCTTGTGGAACAGCCTTCTCACGACGCCCGCCCACTTCCCCGATCTGCGCATCCCCCGCCGGGGTGCGGATCTTGATCTGCCGCATTTGAGCGACATATACTGGACGCTGGCCTGCTTACTGAAATGCCTTAGCGGCGCTACCAAGATGCTGGTTATCACCGGACTAGATGTGGCGCAGTGCCTCTCATTACTCCCGCTCGTCCGCCATTTTCTGGATGCTCAGCGCTTACGGTTACCGGCGTTGGTGCTTTACGACTGTCGTTTTGTCGTAAATGGATGGATGAATGAGCGTGATGGCTTCCAAGATCTGAGAGCCCGTTTGGCTAGCCTGGCCGGGGATTTTGCGGCGTACGACCGCATGGTGTGGAAAAACTGTCGTATCGAAGGTGTCGGGTATCTCAAGGCGTTTGTCGCGCGGCGCTCGTTCGGCGTCCAACCGCGCCAGGAGTTGGAGAAAGAGCTCTGGGAAGTGATCGAGAAGAGTCGTGACTCTCCCTGAACCCTTCACTCGACAGACTGGACGTTAATAATGCCCTAACTCATTCTGAAACTGTGAAAACGCTGCTGGTTTCCATTTTCGTATTTTTTTTGTGGCGCCAAATGATTAGAAATATTGTTTGGTATGGATAAACTGTGCTCTTTATTATATGAGACTACTTCAAGTATTAATACTGTACAGTCTGTAAGACGTAAATAGCATATCCACAATACAGCATTCGGGTAATCACCGGAATTTTCAGTCAGCGCTGCTTCCAGCCTTCCGCATAGCATAATTCTACGCGCGCAAATGTCATAATTCTACACAGCATTCAAATGATTCAATCTAAAACGCGACGAAGCAAGACGACACGGTGGGATCCGTTACCCGCCCCAAGAACAGCGGCACATTGGCCACCTCGTCCCAGATAATCACCAGGAAGGGCCGATTGGCCACAAAATCCGGATCACTGTCCACCATACTGTACTCTAAATTGGGCCACTCGAACGGCGGAGTGGACATGCCGTATTCGTCCATATCTATAAGACAACAGCACGGTTTTCAGCGTGGGCTAATTGTAGATTTGTATGGAGTAAATGTATGACAATCACGTTAACACCGAAAATATTAATCTGTCACTCTGGCGTCCTACCTAACAGAACATGTTGCAGTATTTCATCAGGGTGCAACGATAAGACTTTCTCTTCTTCGACCGTCTCCTCTTTCAGAGTTGCACGTTCGACAACCACACCAGCAACTGGTAAAGGCGCAAACACCCCACCCAGTCCCCTCGCCGTCAAACACGGCTGCAAATTAACGGTGCAGCTGATCCGGAATTTGGGAAGCACGATACGCATAATACTGTCTTTGCTTTTATCGCGCCACGCCAGCAGCTTCTCCACCGTCAGACTGCCCTCCAACGCCGGTGTCCCACCGGAATTAGCCATCGGCAGCAGGATCATCACGCTGAACTGGCGACGATCGATGTTGAGGATGATCATGTGTGGATCGCCGTCCTCGATAACGTCATAATAATGCTGATGCAAGTTGTACAATACACACGCAAAAAAGCGTACTTATAATCCATCATATCCACCGTCTTTTCCTGACCGTCCGGACAATAAAACGTTTTGGGTCTGGTGTTGTAGCAAATAAAGGGGTCCTCCCAGACGCCGTTGAAACGACAGAAGTTGACGACGATAAGCGAGCGCGGCGTCGTCTCGCGGAGTATCGGTTCGGCGCTGCCCGCAAACTGACTGACGATTCGCAGGGCTTTCTCCGGGTCGGCGGCAAACGGCACTCGGACGTATTGAAACGGGACGCCCGTCGTATCCAGGGGACACGTCGCGGGGTGGCTGGCGTTGTCGTCGATAAACGCGACGGTTGATAGTGTCACCGCTGTGTGGTTTGTAACGCTGCGCACTGCTGCCACAGATCTCCATGTGTCGTCGGGCGGCCAAACATTGGAGATCAGTATTGGTCTCAGCAGTGGTGCGTCGCTGTCTGTGTCTGGCACCATCGCGGCCAGGAGGATTCGCGTTGCGCAGGGACAGATAGACACATTCGTGTCAGGGGCACAGGAAGTGCCGAGAAGCGTTTTGAAGAGGCTGACAGCAAAACAATTCTCTGGGTTGACAGTGAAATCCGTGGTGTAGGGGCGCAGGCGTTTACGAGGCTTTTCCTCAGTTTCCGGTTTCACGCACGTCTTAATTAAGCGGAGAAATTTGTCCATACCTGCAAAAGAGATTATATTGGATTAATTGAAGTAATTGGGCCGTATAGCATCGCGATTATGGCAAACCTAAAAAACTCCTTTAGAAACGTAGAAGAGATTGCAACTATGCGCGTAGCAGTTAGCAGTAGCTTGCTGCCTGGACGATGTGCGTTCTTTAACGTAACTGCCGCAGTTATATAAACACAGTACACAACTGGCCGCCCGCCCAGAGGGTCTTTTACGTTCAAATGTTCGCTGCAATTTATTTAGGCTTTCAGCCGCTTTCTGCTTTCGATTTATTCCAAAATTTTGTGCTTTTTTACATACGACTGCTGCAGTAATAGTAAAATTTTTGGATAGACTGATTACAAATCGCGACGAAGGATTATTATTTAGGCCAGTTTTGATTCTGCATGTTGTTTTGGAAGGCCCTGATGAAGTACCAGCATCAATTCCACAATATACATCAACCAGTGATCGTTGATCGTTTAATCCAGTAATCCCGCAGCAGATTCTGGAGTGCCCTGCCTCAATCTGCGCGATGCTGTTGTACGGAGACGACACATCGGCGTGGAACGCCGTGGACGTCCTCCTCGACGACGGCCAGCTGCAGCATGGCCGCGTCATCAACGTGGTGGAGGGCGGCCTGATGATCGACTTCCAGTGCCCCGCACAGCGCTCGCACTTTGTTGAATACGGACGCCTCTTTCGCTGCATTCCGAACGAACCGTTCTGGCAAGAGATCGAGCAGGTGCAGGTGCTGCTGCGCCGCCATCCCGACGGTGCCTGGATCTGGTATCCGGGCCGGGTGCTGCCCCTAGCGGTGCAGGAATATAGTAGAGCGGAATGGATAGAGATGCAGCTGCCCCACGGCAGCGTCAACGAGCTGCTACTTAGAGCCCAGGGGCGCTTACCGCCCACTGACGCCGAGCTGCGCGAGCAAGCCGTGGCGGAGAAAGACTTTGTCATTCGCTCGTGCCCACTGCCAACCACGTATTGGTCCGAGGTGTCGCGGGTCCTCCGGCAGATCTTCCAGGAGGAGCTGAACCAACGACACCATGTCTTGTGCACTTCACTGCTGAGCCAAGCACTTCTCTACCTGCAAAGTCGAAGCGCGGTTCCCCTGACAGTTGAGCAAGTGGTAAGTAAATCAATAAGTAAATAAATCAGTAGGGAAGAAGGATGCTCGGGGGTAATGGCACCTCCCCCCCCCCCCTAAACCGAAGATTTGGGTAATTAAATGATATGTGCAATAGTTTCCCTTGGAAAATTTCATTTAAAAACTTTTTTGGTTTTCCAACGCTCTGGGAGGACGGCAAACTGACGCCGAACCTGAATTTAATGCTTGTTAATGTTGTTTGTCGCAGGAAGCAACCTACCACAAAGCGCGGAAGGACGTGGAGAGTGGCTGCTTGTCTTGGACAGCACAACGAATACTCCGACAAAATTCGGTGGATGCCGACAGGGAAAAACGAAAGCGTCCTGCTCACAGAGGAGCGCGTCTGCCGTTGCCGGTTGAACTGCAGTTGGAGATCTTCCAGTCGCTGGACTCAGTCGAGCGCATCCGCTGTCGGCGTGTCTGCTCACTGTGGAACTGTCTTCTCACCACGGATGCCTACTTCCCCGATGTGCACGTCTCCGGCCGGTGCTATGACGAACACACAGGCGAAATGCACTGGGTGTTGGCGTGCCTGCTGAAATGCCCTAGCCCTGCCAGCAAAGTGGTTATCATAAAGGATCTACGCTGTTGGGATATCTTGGGTGACCCGAAGCGACTGGTTCATAATCTCTGGAAATCCAACGTGCCGACGCTGGTGTTCTACCAGTGCGACATCGCCCATACTTCTGAGTACATGAAAAGGTCGTCATGCGTATGACGCAGATGGTCGTGGGCGTCGCGGCGGCCGAGAGAATCTGGTGGAAGGAATGCCGCGTCCATGGGATCCGCGTGCAGGCCGTCGTAACGGCAGATTTCTCGCCTGGCGAACTGGACAGGGAGGATTTGGAAGAGCAGATGTGGGATCTTTTTGAACGCAGTCTGATTTTGAAGAAACCGGTGGATCGGCTGGCGTTAGCGGAATCGTTTGCGGACTATGTTGCTCACAAGCGCACTGCGAACGTAGACAAGCGGATTGTCGAGGTAAGGGATTTCCTCTTGTTTATCGGACATTTGCAGTGAAATCAGTCGGCTGGTGGATGCGTTTAGGCGCTCAACTATGACCAGGAGGTGGATCCGCGCGAGGCGGCATACTACCGCGATCGGGAGTGGACGCCGGCCGATCTTGGTGATGTGGATGTCGGCAAACTGAACACCGTCACGGCGGTAGTATTGCGCGCCATCCTCGATCTGGTCAGCTGAGCATCAGCATTTTATCAAGGGGACTGGATACACGGAATACTTCTAACTGACTCTCAAATTATAGACGCTCACATGTTCTTTGAGCGGAAGTGCACATTTAGAAGTAAATTTGGAATTGCGTACTGATCTTTGGCTGTTATTAACGGGAATTGCTACGGCTAAAAATGCGTAACCTGCGTAACCTGCGTAACCCATTAAAATTAATGCGTAACCTGTACGATAGGAATGAATACCGCAATAATCTATCCTGTTAACCTGAATCAACGACAGAATACAAGCTAGTAATCGCAGTGTGGCATTGCTAAGTCTACGACTCTACGCGAAATATAATAATCTGCAATTCTGCATCCTCGACGATAGTTTAATTAATTCCGAACTCCGAATGAGAAACAAAGCCGCTTGAACGTGACTTATACAGGTATACCAGGCGCGAAGCGCAATCCGGTTATGGGCTCCATAATTACGTAACGCGGGCAAAGGAGCGGGAGTATATTTGCTGTTTGTGACAAAGGGGGTGTTCACGCATAAAATTACTACAATTATGACGTCTAGATGCTATAATCTGTGGTATGGTTTTTAGTTTAGTTTAGTTTATTCAAGAGCAGACAAACCCTGAGGCACTCGCTAGTCTGGTCAGACAGTAATAAGAACAACAACAACAAAAAACAACATTCAGTTGGCAGAACAGTCGAGGTAGCATAATATTACAGAAGGTTATTTGAACGTAAAATAGCTAATTAAAGTTCAATAGAACCACAACCGAATATCTCTTCCCCACGTAGTTTTTTAGTCTTACCATCAACAATTTTAATAAACATTTTCTCCGTTATTTTATCATACAACAGCTTCAGCCTCATCTTCAGGGTAGTCTTCCCGATGCACAGCCGTGTGGTGGCATCGATCCGCTCTGTACGGCGAAGCTCGTACCTCGCACTTGTTTCCTTGAATGGCAGCAGGTTGGTCATGTAAGACGGCACATTAAAGTTGCTCCGGTTACGTATCTTGTACAGTCATACCGCTTCCTTTTGCCGCCATCGGTCGGTCGCTGGTGTGATGCCAAGCTGTTCGTACAGTTGCGGTATTATCCGACAACTGCCGCCGGTGATGGTCCGCAAGGCCGCGTCTTGCCGTTTCTTCAGCTCCTTCTGCTCTCCCGAAGACGCCGTTGACCACACCAGTGCACAGTAATCTATGTACGGCTCAACGAAGGCGTGGTGAAGGGTGGCTCGCTGAGGGATGCTGAGACCGGTTCTGACTCTCTTGATCTTGTCAGAGTAGAAGGCTCTGCCCTCAGGACAGCCGCCCCATCCGCCGCCTACCTGGTTGTCTCAAGCTCAAGCACAAAAATCTTGATCTCAGCCAACAACGGCGATGGCACAGTGGCTGTGCTACGTGGATCACACACTCGGTAGCCAGCGGTTCGATTCCGCTCCGTCGCCATTTTTCAGAATTTCCTCAACAGGAAATTCTTTCAGACTTCATCTGGCCGCCCTCCCTTCGCTGAGATACCCACGGACAGCCGTCTTTATGGCAGCCTCTGATAATCTTCTGTATGCCGAAATTAATGTTTCGTTTCACTTTTTGATTTTTTTTTTAATTTTATTACGTAGCGTTCGGGGACAGGGACCGCGGTTTTGCTTTCACAGGTTGCACTGTTGATAACTTGACACACGGGGAGCATGGTATTCAGCATCGTGAAAAATGTTATATTACGCAATTATTCTTAGGTTTATTCTTAGGTTTTTAAACAACTCAAAGAAATGAGACCGTTCTGAAATATGCCAGTCCAAAATTACTGTAGAAGTCGTACGGGTATGCTCGGCTCGCTACGCCCCGGCAGGCCAGCTGCGATCTCCGCTGTTTGCACTTTGCCACAGCCGGACAGAGCAAGTCTCTCTGCTCTGCTTTGATTTCTGCCTTCTGGATTTCCTGATGCACCGAAAGCAGCGGGGTGCTCAGGACTTTACTTCCGTATTTTTGCTGGTCCTGGCTGTCGGTTATTTGCCCGTCCCGGTCCATCCAAAATTGCACTGTGCAGGTACGGCTCTTTGGAGACTGAACAGCACTCAACAAGTCAGTAGGTACCCAGCAGCGGAGGACCTGTGCACCGTCCACTTGCCAGTCTGACCCAGCTGTGCTCTAGAAGTGGCAGACATTCCGTTTGTGGTCCTACTTCCTCCCATCAACTGTTTCTCTCGTTGGCAGCCTGCCTGGACCCAGACTGCACACGGAAATCTACAATGGCGCACAGCAGCCCCATAACTAGCGGGGATCTTGATGGACTCAGTATGCAGCGTTCCGCTGAGCAAGGTACGTTTTGGTGTGCAGGGTTTTCTGTTTTTGCTATTCGATTAAAAAGAGTGCGATTTGGGAAAGAAATAGGCAAATCAAGCAGCCCCATATCAGCACGACTGCAGAACACCGATTAGGTCTCCGTTGATTACTCTTCGCTGTTAGGTGCATCCGCGAGCCGAGATCAGGAACTATTCAAAGCGCTGGACGAGGTATGAGTTGAGTCCATCCGCCGCCGTAATTACTTTGTCGCCGAAATGCCATTTTTTCCTCACCAATAGGCGTACGCACGGATGAAGGCCACGGTGGAAGAGGACAGGCGAAGCGCACGACGTAAGCAGTGCACTGGAATGCGTTGAGGGTATTTTACAGAGGTCTTTGGAAGGGACCATCAGCACGCTGCAACAGCAAGTGATGCAGCACGAGCGTGTGATTGCCGCGCAGCACGACAGCGCAGCCGAGAGTGAGCGGCGCATCCGGGACCTGGAGGCGCGTGTCGCGGAGTTGACGGCGCGCAATGCCACATTGCTGCAGCTCACCGAATCCTTCCACGGGGCCTTCGCCGCGTACGCCAAAAACCGCGGTGTACTGGACCAGCTGATGGTGCGTGATTGGGTTCAGCTGTCAGATCTTTCTTGGACGACGTCAATTCAGTCTGTTTTCCCTAGAATTCCAAAGGAGACGCCGGAAACCCCGTTCCTGTCAACGCAGCAATTCCGTCTGTTGCCTCGATTCCTGTTCCAGTTGCGGTGGCTGCTGAAGGGTAAGGATGTCTTAAAATTCAGTTTTGATGAGAAGGCATTCTGTTATTCCACATTTGTACAAGCAAATGCCATTTACACTTACAACTCAAACATCTGATAGCTAGAACAAACGAAAATCGGTAAATCTCGATCTACGGCCTTTTTGAGACAGCTATTAAGTTTAGCAGTTGTTAAAGGAAATACTGCGGCTGTTTTAGGAAGTCTGAACGCGCATCTTAAAATGACGAGTAACACTAATGATTTTGGTTGTTCGTTTCAGTGTGTAAATGAGTCATTAATTAGTGTCCAGCGCACACCCAAGAATTTTCGCTTTCCGAATCACTTTTTCGTAATACTTTATACCATTCTAAAGGTAAATGATTTGTATACATTGTTCTGAAAACAGTTTGCGCGCGCAATATCTGGTTGCCGAGATATGGCGTGCAAAGATTGGCGAAAAGTTTAAATGCACTGTTGTGTAAGTACCAAAAGTCTGGTTGGTTAATACCCGATCTTCTTGAAACTTTGCTATAAAAGGCACATGGCTATAAAGTTGAAAGTTAACCAACCTCAGATCCATAGCATTTTTCTCCGATTTTAAAATGAATTTTAAAAATTTTAAAACTCATTTTAAATTGTGGGAAAATGCTAGAAACCTGAACTTGGTTCACTTTCGACTTTAGGGCCATGTGTCTTTTGCAGCAAAGTTTCAAGAAGATCGAGTAATAACCCGACTTTTGGTACACAACAATGCATTTAAACTTTTCGCCAATTTTAGCACGCCATATCTCGGCAACCGGATGTTGCGATCCGCAAACGGTTTGCAGAAGAATTTATACAAATCATTTAGCTTAAGAATCACATAAAGTAATGCAGGAAAGTGATCTGGAGTGCGTGAAAGCAAAAGTTTTCATGTATGTATCATGGGATACAAAATGTATCCCATTTCTGACACCATGTACCGGGCCATTTCTCTTAAGAAGCCCGCGAACAGCATTTTGTGACCGCTGGGGCTGGTTGATCAGTGCAGCGTTCTGTAACGACTTCAAATAGACCGAAGACAGAGAATTTCGGTGCTGCCAGAAAACGCTTCCTTTATTGATCGCATTGTATGCTTTTACTTGCCTGTCGTGCAGTCCAGTTAACAGATGAGTGGTAACCTTTTCTTTCAGAAATCGTTCTGCGGTTGAAGGGGACGCGGGATCCGCTCCCGCTGCGCCGCCATCCGCACCGCAACTCCCGGCAGAAACGACCTCCCGGCACGTGATACTCGGCACACGGCTGGCAGCTCATCCGCCGCTGCCAGGGGCGGCGTCCTCCGGCGTCCAGGGTGTGCCAGTGGCCGTGGACACGCCCCCCGCCTCCGGCATCGGTCCGTTCTCGCAGCGCCCCGCTGCGCCACCGGCCCATCAAGGTGTTCTCACTCTCTCCGTCCGACCCGCTCTCGTCTACCATTACAGCGCCTTCCCAGGTACATCGGAGGCTGCCGGTGCGCCCCCGAAGATGGTCAGCTTCGCGGCGCCGGATACCGGCGGCAACCGGAAGCGGGCGCAGTTGCTGCTGGCGGCCAGTACGTGCCCGGTGTGCCGGGTGGAATACGCCGACGCCGAAGAGCTGCGCCAGCACGCGTGTGCGCAGAAGCGCATGTATCAGTGCCGCGCCCGAGCGGATGGCTGTCGTGAGATGTTCCGCAGTGCGTCCGGCCGGCGGGGTCATGAAAAAAGGGTGCACGGCAGTCAGGCGAACGCGGACAGCAGCCGTTGATCGCTGCTAACGAAGACAACTATAGAGTACGAGCCGGTTCATCGTTAATAGTCATGAGTTCCTGGTCAAACTCTGTTAGTCGGCAATAGCCAGTTCGCGTTCTAAAAAGCCAGCGCAGTTATCTGCTGAACAAAAATCGAGTTTATTGGATAGGTACTATAAATCAGCTTCACTGTACTAACTGTTGTTATATTTTTCTCGGTTTGCGGAATGATGGGCTAGTCTATGACAATGTCAGTTATTTTCCGCGAGTAAATTGGCAGAAGATTGTTAGAGTTATTGGACCTGTACGGCGTTGATGTGCGCTTTGGCAGCCATTGTCTAATTATCTGCAATTCTTAATTCAGCTGTATTAATTTTTGTGCGTGTTCCCGGTGACGGAGAGATCAGTACGATAGGAATAATTACCGTAAATAATCTATCCTACCGACCTACTCAACGACAGAGTATGAGCTAATAATCGCAATGTGGCATAGCTAAGTTTACGAATCTACGCGAAGCGAGAACTGCATCTCCGACGATAATTTAATTAATAACTCCGAAACTGCCAAAACTCGTAATGAGAGAACTGATGTTCAAAAGTACGTACTGCCACTCACGGACTTATATAGACACGGCGCATCCGTGTAGAAACAACCAAAAGTAAATCCGAACACAAAAGAGAAACGTCGAGAAAGTACAGCGAATAATAGAAAGTACGATAAGGCCGTCACTTTATGTACACACCGCTACTGTACTGCTATATTCCGTCACCGGAGCGAGTCTCGTTGCGGTTACCCCAGTTTACAATAAACTCAATAATTCTGGGTTTTTGTTCTCGGTGCATTTAGCGACATGGTTGAGAAGGCAGACTTGTGTTTTGCCTTTAAGTAAGACGATCGAAATTGATGCTATGGGTTTTTTCACTACTGACTATTACGTATGTTGTAAATGCGGAAATAATATTTTATTGAATTAATCAAATAGTCCAACACTAGCATACAGGAAGTGTTTCTGTTGTGATGCCGCTTTGTTTGGTACTTCGTTTGTACTCGTATTATTTCTGCTGGGCTAATGCTTATCATAGTCCAACAGACTTTGTTGTCCCTTTTAAAAAATATTCTGAAGTTTCTTTCTCATCCGATGGTTCACTGCTTACTTACCGTTTTGACACAAGCGGAGGCGAAACTAAGTGGAATTCTGCCGCTGACTAGCCGTGTTCAAGAGAAAACCGGTTTAGGTAGTCGTCACATTAGGCGGCAGCAGTACTGTACGCAGATCCGCTGTAGCCTGGCAGAGCAATATTCTTCTGGCTCTTCATTTCTGTCTTCTGGAATCTGGATTTCCTGATTCGCCGAGTACAGCGTTGTCCTTAATACTTTATTCTCGTATTTTTGTTGGTTCTGGCTGTCGGTTATTTACCCTGTCCATCCAAATCATTGCAGTTACTACGCTTTGGAGATTGAACAGCACTCACTCCGCAGGTACCCACAGCAGCGGAGGACCAGTGTACAGTCCACTTGTCAGTGGTGCTGTTGCCTGTTGTGGCTGTTAACTGCAATTGTCTTTCTCCTTTCAGCTGTTTCTCTCGTTGGCAGTCTGGGAATCTACAATGGCAAACAGTAAGCCCACAACCAGCGTGAATCTTGACGGACCCAGTGTGCAGCGTTCTGCTGAACCAGGTACGTGGTATGTTGTGCAGGGTCTTCTGTGTAAAGTGTTCGATTATTCGCGGTTAAATACAGTATGAGTGTGCACGTTCTGAGTTCTGAAGTGGCTCATAAATCATTCACATATCAGCACAGCCGCACAAGCTGATTAGGTCTTCTTCGATGATGATGCTTGCTGCTAGGTGCATTCGCGAGCGGAGACCAAGAACCGTTTAAAGTGATGGACCAGGTGAGACTATCCGCAGCCGTAATAACCTTCCTTGCCGACAAGTTAAACTTTCCGCTTTAACGTGCTCATAGGCGTGCGCATGGATGAAGGCCAAGTGGGAGGAGGAACGACTGAGCGAACGACGTAAGACCTGTCTGGTGGAATGTAAGCGGTATTTCGCACTGGGATTTTGTAGTGACCATCAGCATGCTGGAACAGCGAGTGCTGCAGCACGAGCGTGTCATTGACGAGCAGAAAACGGCGCTCAATAAGCAGCAGACCGAGATCTATTCCAAAGACGGGATGATTGCCGAGCAGCAGGCCAGTGCAGCGGACAGTCAGCGCCGCATCCAGGAGCTCGAGGCGCATTTAGCGGAGGAACAGCGCCGTGTCGCGGCGCTGACGGCGCGCAACGCCAAACTCATGCAGGTTACTGAGTCCTTCCGTGGGGTCTTTGCCGTGTACGCTCAAAACCGCGACGTAGTGGACGAATTGATGGTGAGCCAATGGTTTCTTTTGGAAATTATATTGAGCGATGCAGCGTACTCTTTTTAGAATGCCCAAGGAGACGCCGGCAATCCTGTTCGCACAATTCCGGATGCCGTCCTGATTGCGGCTTCTGCTGTGGTCGCTGCTGAAGAGTAAGGATGTGTTATTACTATTTATTAACATTTATTAACAATAGACAACCCTAACGGGACTTCTAGTCTGGTCCAAAAAAAAAATTTTTTAAACAGTCCAACAAAACACAGTTTTAAATTTCTTCTCAACGCTGTAAATCTGTCTTAATTATTGGCGTTGCATTAAAAGGCAGGGACAGAACTGGCATCGACGATTTTAGGGTTGACATCAAGAAGATTATCAAGAGGATGCATTAAGCGCATTTCCACAGTCGACTGTTCAATCATCCAGTTGCACTGGTATTATTCTTAGTAAAAATCATCATTAAAAACGCAGTTTAGGTCGGACCCTGGTGAATGTGTTGCTCAATTTCTGCGGAATGAACCGAGGAATGGTTTCCTTGCAGGCAGCCCGTGGCGTTTGGCGCTGGCAGCGCGGAATCCCCGACTGCACCGCGTGATCCCGCTGCGCCGCCATCCGCGCCGGTGATTCCGGTGGAAACGATCGACGAACACGCGGTGTTGGACACGCAGCGGGCGACCCCTCCGCCGCCGCCCGCTGCGGACGCTGCGGCGTCAACCGACCACCAGGGTGTGGCGGCGGACACGGCCATCCCTCCCGCCTTCCCCATCAGTGCATCCTCGGAACGCACCACCGCGCCACCGGCTTATCCATCAATTCGCGTAACTCTTCGCAAAGTAGTGACACCCGCGCTCGTTTATCGCTCCCCCAGCGAGGATTCCGCGGCAACACAGGCCGCCGGCGCCACGGAGACGCGTCCGCCCAAGACGGTCGGCTGCCCGCCGGTGCCGGAGAGCCGCGGGAAGCGAAAGCGGGCGCAGTCGGTGCTGGCGGTCAGCACGTGCCCGGTGTGCCAGGTGGAGTACGCCGACGCTGAGGATCTGCGCCGGCACGCGTGTCCGCTGCTGCGCCGGCACCGCTGCCGCGCCGCGGGCTGCCACAAGCGCTTCAGCAGCGACGCCAGCCGGCGCCGCCATGAGAGCAAGTTCCATGCCGGTCAGCCGAAACCCGGCAGCGCTGAGTGAGCGCCGTTATTGGCCAATGCGCGCACTCACTGTAAAAGACGCTCCGGTTCAGTGTTTATAGTTAGAAGTTCCATGACAGGCTCTGTTTAATGTTCGCAGATGTATAATCGCCTGATTTTACGGTACTTACTGTTGTTGTGCTTTATTTGGCAAAGGCCATCAATATAACAAAATATGCATTCGCGTAATACTACTTAAAATGACCCAAATTTAAACGTTAAAGAACGTTAACTGTTGTTTGATGATTATGTGTTTCTGGTATTTTCTGCATTTTATAATTTTATCTGTTGATTTTATTTAATGGGTGTCGCTTCTGTTTGTTCTCATGTGGGCAGTAATCCCAGTAATTTGGAATTCGTAGTGCTGTTGCTGGGAAAGGTGATGGTGTGGTCGGAGAGCATAAACTGGTAAAAGGATCTTTGAACGCCGTGGTCAGCGTTAATTGGCGTCACAATTTAGTTGAGTACAGAGTCCGGCTAGTAATGAGTAATATTATGGTTGTGTTTTGTTGGAAATCTATTCACACGTATCTTCTTTCTTTTTTTTCCCGAGTATTTTTTAATCCATATAAACAAGACCATAGCAAAGCTGCCAAGAAAAACAACTTCTTTCTTTTATACAACGACGTAGTCGTACCGACAACTTGAGGACGACGGCAACCGACCATGTTTTCTGAATTTTGTAGCTGATCTGAGTATTCTTTTAGCAGGATGCTTATTATTTATAACTTGTTCAACTTGTTTGTGCGCAAGTTGTGGCTGTGGGCGTAGTGATTAACAATCTTACAGTTATTAGCATTTAGATTGGCTGGTCGGGAATAATTAGTGCTCGATGTTGTTTCTCTTGGCAGCTTTGCTGTGATTTTGTTAACAATGAATTAAACTCAGTAGTTAAAAAAAAAGTTATTCGCAAGTGTTTTATGAACCTCCGGAAAGCTGACACATTTGCAAGAATCCTTCCGCACACGACAGCATTTTTATTCGAATTGTTGTTTCGGTGCGTTTAATACTGATCATTTCCGCAACCGGACTACCACTTACTGATTAAAGCTGCAGTTAAAGAACCATAACTTCTGTCTGCCGCCTGCAGCATTTAAGCAATACGTAGTGCAGTTCTCGTCTAGTTTGCCACGCGTTAACAAACAGTTATATATATGCCTGTGCACAGAATTGGCATTTCAGCGTACGGCACATTTTACAGTAAAAAATGAAGTCTCGCTCGTTAACGATTTCGTGGTGGATGACGTACACAATTGCGTACACAATTGCGAACGCGTACGCGAATGTATCTTTCCAATCGATTGCCACTAGTCTTCCGACGCCGGCTAGCGCAGACATCCCGGTTTTCGATTTTTCCATTTATTCCCTCTGCAACAGCGCCACGCCTACAACACCTGCAAAGCAGACACCGCTCCCGGAGTTGGCCGAAACATTTACCATTGGCGTGGAAAGGAAAAGGGGAGAGACGGTATACTTTGGCGCGGATGGGCATTTTGACAAAAATGGTCAGCGAGGTGCCACAATCATCCGGCAAGCAGGCACCAAGACTTCCTATCTGTATGATTTCATTACGGGAAATGCCTTCCGCGTCGTAGAAGAAGACGATGAACACGGTGGTACGTTTATCGCTCGTATTTTCGGCAAATAATTCTTTACCAGAAAGTAGAGAATGCCAGTTTTTTTTTTCTGTAAGAATCGGCATTTCATTGATTGACTGTTTACTGGTAGTTCTGCCAAGCCGGATACAATTCGGCACTATCACATATCCTTATTCACGAAGAACATCAAAATTAATATACTACGGCTAGTCAAGTCAACACACTCCGTTAAACAACAGTAATACGTACACCATAAATGCAACAAATGTTCTTGAAAGGCATCGTGTTACCATACAGCTAGATTCCGTCAAACGCTAACCAATTTGATAAACCAATAAAACGCCTTTGTGGCTTCTTCATCTGTATTGAGATACTTGTATTCAAACGTGGCACTTTTCTAGTTCATGAGAGATCTTGAAAACGGTTAAATCCCTGTGGCAATGTTGTAGTGTACAGTATGTACTTCTAGATGTTTATAAGCAGATTTTCCAGATTACAGTTGTTCAAGTGCAAGAACATCATGTACAGCGTATGGGCCTTCACAGGGCGACAGTGTAGGAAGGAAGATTTATGGCAGACGGGATGTAGTAATTATGCCTATTTTATGGCGGAACTGGTCGGATATTCCGTTGTCTCCAGCAAGTGTAATATCAGCGCCAGCAACGTCACCGATCAGGGTGTTCAGCACGCTACGGTCCGGGACATCCGAGTGCAGATGTGGGAGCAGTGTGTCCACGATAACAAGCGGAATACAGTATGGAGAAATCGCTACTATTACACCGCTCCCGGTGCTAAACCAGTTCGGTTAGAAAGTATGCAACTTGACGGACCAGGTAAATTTCCGCCGGTTACTAACTGTACAGTTTGTACTCGAATGATTTCATTGGGTTATTCAAGTGAACATTGGCGAGTACACAAGATTACGCGTTATATCAGTTAAGCACATAATACAGTAATACGTTACACTTCATCCAACTTCTTACCGATACAGAACGTTTCGTGTGCACAAGTATTAAAGCAATAGAAGTACTGATTTTCTGTGTGAGGTGTAATACTCGTAGTTGTATGAGTGTATAATAATTACAATTTTTGTATTGCAGAATATCACTGATATTTTAATTAATTGCTCTTGCCCACAGTTTACTTTGTTTGTGCACATTTTCTCAGATGTTGGAAAAATGCAAGTGTATGATTTTACATACTACTACCCGGAAGTCAAAGACAAGTCTGTCTTTCTGGTAAGCACTGCAGACAAGTCTGCCTTTCCAGTTTATCCTCGGCTCAATAATGGCACACGTGAAACATTTGTATCTAGCCCGGTCCAGGAGTTTATTGTCCGGGTTGGGAGCGAGAAAAGCAAGACGCTCCTACACTTCCCGACCAGTTCAGTCTAACGGCGCTGACGGTGTCCAAAAATGACCAAGCGGTGTACAGCCTTAACGTAAGCGAAAGTTGACTAGCCTAGCATATTTGATGTTCTTCAACGGATAAGAATATTTGAGAGTGCCCGAAAAGAAATCAAACCAAATCAAAGCCGTCAGCACGTAGCTTTGATGAATTCAGCACAGTGGCTTCAGTGTTCCTTAATTAAGCACAGGACATGGTGTTACATTGCAGATGCACTTAGACTCCAAGCACTTGTTCGTCGCGTACTTTACGGACTCGCTCAGCGGTACTCCATCGTCTGCGGTTAAGCCCCGCACCCAGTACCGAACGATACACGACTACACGAGCGGCCTGTCGGTTACGATGCCAGTGTGGGGTACGTGGCAGAGGGACCGTAGTGAGTGTACCGTGTCAGCTATCGACACGCACAGCCTGGACTCCATCAAGTCCGACAGTTGGGCCGTTGTCCACCTGAAGAGCGCCCGCGATCTGTTTGCGTGGAATCGCTCCGGTGCGCTGTACGTGGGACAGCGGGACTTCAACGGGATGCCGACAAATGTGTGGGTATCGCAGCGGAGCAACAACGACCCGACGAACAATATTACCACGACTATGGAGACGTATTGGCTGCATGTGAGCTATTCTCTTTCACTCTGCTGAAGATAACCGAACCATATGAAGGCTAAGAAACCTAAGAATGACCTCAGAGTCTCAGACTAACCTAAGAATAACCTACGAATAACCTAGGAGTAACCTTAGAATAACCAAAGAAACATAAGAAACCTAAGAAACCTAAGAAACCTAAGAAACCTTAGAATAACCAAAGAAACATAAGAAACCTAAGAACAACCAGTAAGCAAACTACTGGCACCTTTTGCAGCAATTCGGAGTTTGTATGCTCTTTTGTTTTTATGCAGGAAAACTGGACGTCTTCCGGTTCCCGGGAGCGCCCGCTGGTGGGAATATCTGTCTGTCGAGCATTCCCCAACGGAACTATCTTCGAGACTCTGCAAAATACTGTCAGCGATTTCAGCCCTTTTCCTGTCACCTGGAAACCATTTGCCGTTGCGGACTGTCTGCGGGACGAGGAAGAGATGGCAATCACGTTCGGCTTGAAGGTGCAGAATGACACGGAAGTGGAAATACAGAAGCCCGCTTTTGAGGTGGAGATGCGCGACGCGCTGTCCCGTCTGACCGGCGCATCGCCACTGCAGTTCAGTGATATCCGGGTGATGCGGAATAGTATCTGGGTGAAGGTGTCGGACTGGGTCAACAACACCGGCAGTGAGGCCAACGCGACACACTACCCAAATGTCACACAAGTGGTCGACGGTTTGAGAAAACTGATGGACGGTCAGGATGCGCCGTACACGATACAGTTTGCCAATAGAACGCAGGTTCGTACTACCTGCCACAGCAACCACATACAAAGTACTGTAACCAACATTTACGTTATTACGTACATTACAAAAACAAATACACAGCCTTACAGAGAATGAGAAAGCTTCGCCTGTGTATGTTCGCATACTTACATCCATTCAGATTAAAAATCGGTGTGCAGGCGGTACTACAGCAATGAGCCTCATTCTGTGATTCACAGAATGATGCGCATATAACCACACTCACTACAGTAAGTCTGAGGCAAAAATTAGGAAATGACTGTACATATTTGCCAAATGATAACTAAGAAACAGCATTGTCTTCCTGCAGTCTATGGTTTTCCTAAAAGACTCGATCCAGATCGCCACTTACATTATGAAGTCGACCACCACACCGATCCGCCCGCCCACTCCGCCGACCACCCCCCGCCCCACGGAGACGCCTACCGCCGTCGCTCACGGCTATAACGCTGCTGCTGCTGCACCACTTTCAAATACAACCAGCAGTAAACTAATGTCATTTTCCTTTCCGTTTTCAGTGCTCTGAGTCGTAACATATTAACGACTGGCTCAAAACGGGTGTGTTGTTTGGGCTAATCTCCATATGCCGCATTGTTTACTTATTGTACTGCGCCGAGATTCCGCAGTACTACTGTGGAATCTCGGTTATTACTGTCGCGTAACTAAAGGTTAGCTGTGACTCGGTGAATGTAACCTTTCTACTACCAGTACAACAACGATAAACAACAGCGGCTGATCCGACCCGATGACCTTTAATGCAGATTAGCAGACAACAACTCGAATGCTAACAAATGTCATGCAAAGATAAAAGGCAGATATTCCAAGAGAAGTTGTTCCGAGGCTGGATGGTGATGTACTAAATCATTTGACAACTTCATCGCACACTACTTTTTTTAGCCAGGCACTTAATACATGTTACGAGAGATAAAACATTGCAGACAACAAAGACACACTATTGGTTTACACAATGATTCATTCCTTTCTTCACGCTCAATCATTTGCTTGTTATCGTTAAACCACAACCTTTGACTTGCTCACAACAACAAACTATCCTGCAATCAACCACAACAACCAACCGCATTCAACCGCATCCGCAACTGTATCCATTTAAAGCACGCCCGTTATGATGATGAATATGTATGTGATTCATGATGCATGCTGCTCATGACCCACAGAACACGCTTGCGCTATATACTCGCGCAACACGCCTCTCCTATGGATCATGACGTCCTCGTCATGGGTCGCTTTAACACTCACTCCCGCTCCGAAATCCGTCCAGACACTCGAGTCCGACCGTCCCAGAAGGTGACCACCATCCCTTAACTCGGATGGCACTTGCCCCCTTCCGGTACGGCATCCACCGAATCTGTGTCCATCTCCTCTACCGGTGTGGACTGCATTGGCACCGCATCAGCACTGGACTCTGCCGACGTCTCGTGGTAACCGGCATCTTCTTCGTCTTCGTTCACGACTTCTGACTCCGCTTCCGCCTGTGCTAACCGATCCGCAAAATCGAGCGTTTCCATTATGCCGCTGTAATCGGGCGCTTCATTCGGTGACACTCGCTCTCGCCGTTCCATTACTCCACACATGATATGCTGGATGCGCAATTCAGGTAACGTACTCTGATATAACCGCATCCCGCGCGCATCCCTAACTTCGTCCTCCAGGAAAAACTTAAATGGATTGAAGAATCGCGGATGTTCACCAGTTAACACCAACTCCTTCCGTGCGCTGCACTCCTTATACACAAAGCCGTATTCGTTCTCGTACCGCATCGCGCCGTCGTCGCCACTGTAGTAGAGGTACTGGCCGAACATGAAGTAATCCATATCGTACACGACATGACGGCCATACCGCACTTCCGCCGGAGATTCCACCGTAAAACGAGCACCGTGTGGCACTAATGTCCGTAGCTGCACTCTAGTTCTGGCTAACTCCGCTGCCATCCACGTAAATTCGTCCGGAAATGGCAACGCGTCTCCCATTTGCTGTACGTATCCGGCTAACACTTTTTCACACGTTCGCAACATTCCGTCATGTTTGGCAATGTACTCTGCATCTGTATTCTCCACACACGCACACTCGCCAATACCCACATTTGCATTGACACTTTTCCGCCCACCGACACCATTCATACTGTTGCCATTCTCGCCAGTACCGCCACTCGCATTGGTATGGCACTCTCCAATGCCGGCACTCGTACCGACAGTATTTCCTCCATGTTCACCATGCACTCTGACACCATACTTGCCAGTACCACCAGCAGCACTGACACTGCACTCGCCAGTGTTGGTACTCGTACTGACCGGCATCATCTCCGCAAAACCACCGCTCGCACTGGATATCGACTTTCCAGTGTCACCACTGCCACCATAAACCAACTTGCCCGCGCCATGACTCACGCCGGACACATCTACCGCTGTACACTGACTCGCACAGGGTCTCCTCTCGTCCGCGCCATCACTCACGCCAGACACACACGCTACTGTGCACTGACTCGCACAGGACTTCACCTCGCCCATACCACAACTCGCATGGACACTCTCAGTGCTAACACTTGCACTGAATACGCGCTCGCTTATGCCAACACTCGCACAAGCACTCGCAATGCTGTCACCTGCATTGCATGCTCCAACGTCACCACTCACACAATTTTAAAAGATACCGCACCTGCACCAGCACTCGCACAAGTCAAGTTTTATCAGCGCTCTTACTCGAACAAATCACGGCACTCAATATCCCGCGCGTGCTGTCACTTGCACTGGCTCACGTCTCTATAGTGCTGCAACTCGCACTAGACGTGGACACCGCAGCAGCACTACTTCCGCTGGCACCGCCGGTAGATACTCCTTCCGTCTGGCCACGCTAGTTGGCTGTGCGCTTGTGCGACAAAACAGCTGTGCAGCTTCTTCAGGCTAGGGCGCTGCTGAATGAAACGTTTAAACCGCAGACTATGCAGAATCTTGTTAGCCGGCTTTCCCGTTGTCGTAGGCTGTTCCGCTGACAAGTTCTTCTACAAAGTACCTCACATGCAAGCATAACATTCACCTACTCACATAAGAATTACACCATTACTAGACCCTCACACTGAGAACTAACATCTCCTAGACTTATTGTTGTTACGAGTATCATTTGCACATTGCGCAATCTGTACGAGTATCATAAGCATAATGATTGTTAGTACAAGATAAGCCTCGCGCTTTCATGCTCGCCACGTTTGTATTGGAAAGTTCCAGGTTTGAATTTATAGACTGTTTCGGCAGTTGCCGGCTGTTTAGAATTTGAACTACGTAAAAATCCACATTACCCTAACTGCTGTACTGACAAAAGTGTACTTACAGATCCATATCCACGGTTACAGTACCGTATGTACTTTTTACATACTGTGCTTTACAATAGTAAGTATTCTTGGTACTGCACTTGCGTTTCGCCATACTTAAAACCAACTCCTACAATTTTCTGACCAGAACGTTTTAAAAAAAAATCAAAATTCAGGATAAGTTGGTCAGGAAAATATTGATTTTTTTAAGACCAAGTTTGACTTAAACTAACCACACTTTGACGAATCCATAAAAAAACAAAATTGATTACGTTTTGGACGGTAGGATTGTATGAATATAAAGATACGAGTTTACGTAGTGAATATGGCACATTGTACTCTACAAAATTCAGTAATAATACAGATCCCGATAATGCCCATTACCAACAACTGTACAGCTGAGGTAGACAATTATTCAAACACTGATTATATAAAAATATAATATATTTAATGCAGTGTAAAGCTTATGAAAGCATACAAAAGTATTACGGCCGAAAGTAAACTTTATTTTGCATTTTTATTGCATCTCGACCAGCAAGTAACATGAAGAAAGTGAAAAAGGAAAGTCAAGTGCTGCCGATGTACTGAATATTGAGGCCAATATTTTACGTTAATAAGCGCAGAGCAATATGATATGATTTAGAGCGTACTTAACAATGGGGTGTGGTTTGGGTGCGACAATAGAAATCAAGCATACATGAGGAATCATATGCAACTAGTGCATTGAGCTTTAATGGGTGATGGCAACGATGAAAGGTTGCTATTAATATCTTTAGCTTCTCTGTTTTAAACGTTTCGATGGTCAGAAAATTATGCAACAATATTTTACCTTCAATAGCTAAAGCCTAAATAAACGAGCACAACGCAACCAACGTAAACGTACAAAGAAATGCCGCATTTTATCAGATAATTATCCGATCAGAAAAAAACAAATCGTGGTCCCGACTTCGTTCAATTTAATGAACATGATTTTTTCAATTTCCTTTTTCTGCTAATTACCCTGCGCTTTTTTGATTGCAGTGCACCAAATTTGCAAACTGGTGTTTTCATACAGAATTTAGAATTAACCCATACGCTGATTTTGAATCGCTTTTTTTTACTGCGTAATAAGACAGGATCTTTTAGCCGAATGAGCGACAATGTTTTGGAATTTATATATTAATGTACTGTAATCTGAACCCTGAGCACCAAATTCTTCTCTTCTTTTTTTTAATGTTTCTACTGCCGCTATGAAACAATTTTCTTGAGTGGGCTGCCGGCAAGCTTGCACACAAGAACATTTGTTGTTGAAAATTGTCTGCCGATTTTTTCATGAATAACCCGAACATATGCAGAGGCGTCCCAGTGCATAAGTAATTGCCATTCATGTTATTAATGCGTTCTAGTGTAAAACATAACGCATGGTGGATATTTAACCTGAGCAGACAAAAGGTACCAAAACATGATGATATCTTTAAAAAACGATGTGAAAATGTTCTCGAATTTTCTGATATGTTGTTATTCAAGCGACAGTGCTTGCGCAAGCTGGAACAACCATAAAAGTGTGCTCAAAATATTGACCCATTTCATTTACTCATCTTTCTCTCACAACATCCTCATTTATTTCTCTTTTCAGCTTTGTTGCACAACTTTAAAACATTCAACTAAATTCCAAACAGAAGTCAGCGATTCCAAAAACAAAATTGTAAAAAAAAAGTCATCACTAACGGCTTATACGCTGTCAAAGATTTTACCTACGGCGATTGTACGGTGCAAATCAATTATTAGACCCGAATTTCAAAATTTTTTATTAAGAAAATTAGTTTTTTTTTATTTAATTTTGACAAACGCTGTTGATAAACCACGACTAGATATTTATGAAAATGCACCCCTTAAACGTCTACAAAGAAAACACTTTGGCACAAATCAGCAAAATTGTTAGAATTAAGCAAAGCGACTGAATCATTCACAGCGCTAAAGTACATAAAGGTTTTACTCTCTTGCATTATTGGTGTACCGATAATTGCGCCACCTCAAAAAGAACATTACTTGCATAATTACAATTTAATTGATTCATACTTAGACTAGTGTTTATGAATTATTAGCTAACTGAGCTAAGAATTATTTCTGTTTTTTTGAATTATTTTTTTTTAAGCGAACAACTAGTTATAACTTCCAGTAGCGCGTCAAAACATCTTAGAAAGCGGGAAAATTTTACAATCATCGGGCACTTCCCCATCAGCTTTTAGATATTGACACTTCTTACGAATTTCCTGCAGCCTTTCAGTAAATAACTCGACTGTTTTGGGACGATTTTGTATCATATCTGCTTTGAGCTGCATCGGCAAATTTTCGAAAAGAATTCTGACCTTTTCTTCTTCTCCAGCGCTGACATGGGTTGCAGCAATGTAATCCAACACACCGTATACGTACGTCAAGGGTTCGTCAACAGCGGAACTTTTTGACATGAATTTACTGATATCTAAGTCTAACAGATTTCTACCGAAGATTTTAAAAAATTCCTGCTCTGCGTCGCAAAATTTTTTTAGTTTGGATTCGCTGTTCTTAAACCATTTTAAGGCAGCATTTGTCAAGCACAAACCGAAATGCACCAAAGACTGTTCATCGCTCCACGAAAAATAGTTCTTAATTCTGTTAAACCTGTCCATAAAATCTTCTGCAGATTCGGTGGACTGTCCACCAAATACTGGTAAATCTCTAAGGCGAATTCCTGCCATATTACGTACAAGCACTTTTTTTTTAAACTTAAATTTATGCAATCAGAAATTTTTTGATCATCAACAACAAAAAATTCAAGAATCGCATTTTAAAGGGGCATGTTAAAACGATCGGTTACGACGAATTACAGATTCGCTCTTTCTGGTACGTCAGCAGGACTTTTGACTTGCGCAGATAAAAAACTTAATTATTCTACAAATCGATCTATTTAAGAGTTAATTCAATTTTTTCCGAAAATTAATGGCATGAAAAAACGGCATCGAAATATACCTAAATAGGTACTTAAGTATTACTGTTTCGACTCTGCTGGTCCTGCTTATAAATATTTCCTTCCAGGCGGGTCTCACCATATACACCGTATTTTTTACATGCAAAAGAAATCGAAAGAATACAGGGAAAATCCGCAAACAATCTAGAGCACACACTGTTAAAATGATCGAAATCCCTTACAGTAAGCTGATGATTTACGATTCTAGTAATATTAGGACTATCTTCTAAGGTCAACTTAATCATAAGATCAATTTTCATGATTAACCGGTTAATAAAAAACATTCGTCCGAAGTCAACTAAATGACTTTTTATTGACACAAACTTTATTTTAAAAAAACAAACTGAAAGCAACTGCACATCGTTATTAACTTATCCTGTTTAAACTATGTCATGAACAAAAGGACCCACGAAGAGAAAGCAAAAATGATAAGCTGCCATACAACTTACAGAGGAATGCCGTTATGCTGCTTCCGCTAGTTGTCGACCACCTGCACCCGCTTCCGCTCCAACACACTTGATATCGCTCTCCCACTCGCTCATACAACGCGTGGCTTGCTGTAAGCGACACTTGTGACCTTTCACAATCCGCACTCGTCGCTCGCCTCACAGCGTCCACAATGACACAATATCAATCAGCAAATATAACACCAGAATAACTCTCACTGTTGCCGCACAATTAGCACTCGTAGTGGTATTGCACTCACCACTACTAATAAACTCTCACTTGCAACAGGACACACTCACTGCTGCTAGCAAAACTGCCTCTCTAAAAAATCTTGCAGTGGTCATAAACTCACCACTACTAAAATATGCTGACCTTTCCTCGCAGCTCCACACCTTCAGCTACCTTTACTCGCTACGCACACATGCCCTCCATGTCGCGTAACTAAAGGTTAGCTGTGACTCGGTGAATGTAACCTTTCTACTACCAGTACAACAACGATAAACAACAGCGGCTGATCCGACCCGATGACCTTTAATGCAGATTAGCAGACAACAACTCGAATGCTAACAAATGTCATGCAAAGATAAAAGGCAGATATTCCAAGAGAAGTTGTTCCGAGGCTGGATGGTGATGTACTAAATCATTTGACAACTTCATCGCACACTACTTTTTTAGCCAGGCACTTAATACATGTTACGAGAGATAAAACATTGCAGACAACAAAGACACACTATTGGTTTACACAATGATTCATTCCTTTCTTCACGCTCAATCATTTGCTTGTTATCGTTAAACCACAACCTTTGACTTGCTCACAACAACAAACTATCCTGCAATCAACCACAACAACCAACCGCATTCAACCGCATCCGCAACTGTATCCATTTAAAGCACGCCCGTTATGATGATGAATATGTATGTGATTCATGATGCATGCTGCTCATGACCCACAGAACACGCTTGCGCTATATACTCGCGCAACATTACCAATGTGATGGACATAGCAACGCAGGTTGTCATGGAATTACTGTTAGTGCTAATACGCCTAAGGTTAAGTGTCACGTATTTTGACCTTTATTTTAGAACCGCTCAACTCACACTAACTCGCACAGCGTACCACTCTCATTGACACCTGCATGGTTGCTACGTTGCACTAAGTGGTTACGTTACATTAAATGGTTATCTGTTCGTCTAGGGAGCTATTAAAGTTCAATATGGCGCCACACGAACTGTACTTCTACATAACGAGTAACGAATAGTGCGTCCATTTGCAGCTTTGTAGTTCTGATTACCCACATCAAGTTTCGTCCACCGCTGCCCTTTTAGCCCTTAATGGCCTGACATTGTAAAACTGATGCATCGCAACTGAAAACGAAATGCACATACCCAACAAAGTAACATTCGATGTCTCTTTCCCGTGGTATGCTATACAGTGAAGCCTGGTTGCTAAATACACCTTCGGTTAAAGCAAAACCGTATGTGTTATCCAGGTGTATGTATTACACAGAACAGAGTTGTATACAGCCCATGGGACGCGCCGGTTAAACTTTCCGCGTATGTAGCTTCCAGGTGTATTTATTTACGGTGTATGTAAAAGACAGATTCCACTGTATAGGTACTTATAACGTACTTGTAACATTTTTTGTCAAATTAACAAACTAAACGTTATCCAGTAAAACAAGTGTACCAAGATGAAGCTGTCCTGACCTTTAATAAGTATCACACGTTAGTACACACTTAGTACTGAAACAAAAAGAATATTCATAGCAAAAACACTTCCTCAATGCTATCCTGGTCGGGAATTGTACCCATCACATATATTGCGTTTCCTCTCTGTATTTGAATAGATTGCCGCTGCCTAAAAAACTCTTTCGCTCGTTTCTAGATGAAACCGGGTTTGCCGGGAGTAAGACAAATTGTCCACATAAACAAGCGGCGCGACATTTCTATATCGGAAAAATCCTGGCTGTTGTATAGAGTTTAACCGTCTATGAGCAAGTTTTGAAAGTAGTACTTTTCCGAATAACTGTGAAAGAAATTTGGATCTGCGGTGGTGTCGTGATGAGAATATAGGCCGGCTTCAGAATTTCTTTCGCCGTACTTGGCATAATCTACAATGGACGACAAAAAGAGGTTGAACCGATCAGTCGGTCCGCGGTTCAAAAGTAATCTCGCAACGACACGCCACCAGTAAAACTTGGACGCTTTCTCACTTTCTTTGCATGCTACTTTCAGACGCTCGCGCTCCGTGAATATCGAAGTGCAATTATACTAATTGCATATCAAAAGGTGTAGAAAAAAATTCTTAATTTTTTGATGCTAAACACGTGGCTGTTTATGGCTAACAGCACAAATTCTAGCCATTTTGCTTTCTCGTAGGCACAGCATAGGATCTGTGCGCAAAACCGTTTGGCTTGCAATCTATGCTTAAGTCTACGGGAAAGCAAAATGGCTAGAATTTGTGCTGTTTGCCATAAACAGCCACATGTTTAGCATCAGAAAGTTAAGAATTTTTTTCTACACCTTTTGATATGCAATTAGTATAGTTGCACTTCGATATTCGGAAAGTAGCATGCAAAGAAAGTGAGAAAGCGTCCAAGTTTTACTGGTGGCGTGTCGTTGCGAGGTTACTTTTGAACCGCGGACCGACTGATCGGTTCAACCTCTTTTTGTCGTCCATTGTACGTGCTCATTGCTCCATAGAAAACCGATTTAGGAAGTCGTCACACAAGGCGGCAGCCGTAGCTGTCACTGGATCGCAGCATCTCCGGTGTGCTGTAGAGTGTAGACTTGCAGAGTGAAAACTGTCTTCCAAAATTCTCTTGATACTCTCTGTCTTGTCGATTTTTCTGATGCACCGAAGACAAAGGCGTACTCCAAACTTTATTCCCGTATTTTTCCGTATTCTGGCTGTCGGTTCTGCGGCCGCATCACCATCACTGCAGTGTGCAGTTGCTGCTCGTTGCAGATTGCACAGCAGTCAGCAGGTACCTCGCAGCGAAGCATCTGGTGAATGCTGTAGTGACAATCCTGACAATTGTCGTCCTCCCTGCAGCTTTTTCTCTCCGTGGCAGTCTGCCTGGATCCACACTGCACACGGGGAATCTACTACGGCAACCAGGAACCCCGAAACCAGCGGGAATCTTGATCGTGATGGATCCATTATGCCGCATTCCGCTGAGCCAGGTACGTGCAGTCAGTGTCTCCGGGCTTTTCGATTTCGTACGGCTGAATTGCTACTGGAGTAACTGGACTACTGTGGATTGAGTAGTATACGAACAGGGAAGCTAGTCACCGATAAAGCAATCGCAGATCGACGGTATAAATGAAGTAGGTCTTTGGTGATGATGTTTGCTGTTAGGTCCATCCACGAGCGGAGACCAAGACCCGTGCAAAGTTCTGGACCAGGTGAGATTGTCCGCAGCCGAAGAAGACCATGTTTAAACGCCGTTTTTCTCACCCCTAGACCTGCGCATGGGAGAAAGCCAAATGGGAAGAGGAGCGTCGGAGCGAACGACGTAAGCACTGTGTTGTAAAATGTGAGTGGTGTGTTGCAGTGGTGCTTTGCAGAGACCATCAGCACGCTGGAGAAGCGCTTGCTGAACCGCGAGCGTGTCATCGACGAGCAGCAGACGGCGCTGGCGAAGCTGCAGCAGGAGATGTACACCAAGGACCGAACCCACCAGGGGCGTGCAGCGCACATGCACCGGCGCGTCCAGGAGTTGCAGGCGCAGTTAGCGGACGAGCAGCGCAGTGTCGCGGAGCTGACGGCGCGCAATGCCAAACTCCTGCAGGTCGCCGCATCCTTCCGCGGGGTCTTCGCCAACCACCGCGACGTGCTAGACGAACTGATGGTGAGCAATTCGGTTCCTTTTTCAAACTATGCTGAACCATGTAGAACCGTACTCGTTAATAGAATCCCCAAGGGGACGTCGGACAGTCTGCTGCTTCCGCTCTGGGCGCGATTCCTGTTCCGGTGGTGGTCGCTATTGAAGAGTAAGGATGTCTTTTGGAACGTGTGCTTTTATTGACCTGGCGTGCAGCGTCACAGACCGGTTTTCGTGCAGGAATCGCGTGGCGGCTGCTCCTGACGCCGCGGACTCCGCAGCGCCGGAGACGGTCGCCGAGCACGTGGAAATCGACATGGAGCGGTCGACCCCGCCGCCGCTGCCCGGGGCGGACGACCCGCCGCCGCTGCCCGGGGCGGACGACTCGCCGCCGCTGCCCGGGGCGGACGACCCGTAATTATGATGTTTTGGTGTTGCCCACAGTTTACAACAGATACGCTTTATTTGTACACATTTTTTCAGATGCTGGAAAACTCCAAGTGTACGATTTTACATACTACTACCCGGAAGTTAAAGAAAAGGCTGCCTTTTTAGTAAGCATTGCACGCAGATTGGCCTGGGCTCAAATAACATATCGCTGCACATAAAACGCTTTCATCTAGCCTGCTTCAGGAGTATACCTACCGGGTTGGGAGCGAGGAAAGCCAGACGTTCCTACACTTCCCGACCAGTTCAGTCTAACGGCGCTGACGGTGTCCAGAAAGGACCAAGCAGTGTACAGTCTCAACGTAAGCGAAACTGTCAGCAAGTACCATTATTGAATTTCGGCGCAGTGACTTTCGGACTTTCTTAATCGAAGCACTTCGTGTTACACTCCAGATGAACGTAGACTCCAAGCACTTGTTCGTCGTGTACCATACAGACTCGTCCAGCGGTACTCCATCGCAGGGACTGAAATAGTGAAAAATCAATAATGGACGCCCCCCCTGGGGGGGACGCTTTGCGAACCCCCCTGGGGGGGCGAAGTCTAAACATGTTTGACCTTTTGTACGAATTAAAATACTTAAATTTTGATGGATTTCTGAATGGCTGCTTCGAGGGGACGTTTTGTAGGAGTTGTTTGAGGAAACGACATCTTTTTACACAACTGTTAAATTCCACCGGGAATCCATTCGCGCGAAGCGCGAAGCCAACGGACAGACTGACGGGGTTAACTGCTAGAAATTCGATAAAAAATGCTATAGATATCTCTTTTTTGCAAGCTGTGGTATAGGGAAGCTGGGAGCTGGCTGGAGATAAGGAAAGAAGCCGGTAAAAAGAAGTAGGTGTATCTACAAATCACGCTGTAATCCCAGCTACCTAGTTCAATCTTCAGCCCATCTCACCTCTGCGGTCTCATTCTTACCCTAATTTTGAAATTAACCGCTAATTTGTGCAAGTTAACAGTTGTGCAAGTTAACGGGCTTAATGATGGACGCAAATGTCTTGATCTGCATGAGGACTGTAGCCGGCCAACCTTTACGCGTACAAGATAGCGCATTGGGCAAACCCAGTTTCCGGCTTTTATTAAAATCGACATAATGCTGTTTTAAAATCGCGCGGAGCGCGAAAAGATTAATTTTTTTGGTGCTTAAATGGTGCAGTTTCGCGTGTTTCTGGTAAAAAAATATAAAATTATCACCCGCCTTATTTGTTACTCATTCCCATCCTATCTTTCTATAACCGCAATTCCCACCGCTTTTTTTATCTTACATTCACTCCCGCAAACGTTGGCCACTAAACAGTTGCGATTTTGCGTGAAGAAATAGGTATGTACTGTAGCCGCCCGCACAAGTTGCCCCACAGAGTGAGGTATACGGATATTTGGCCTCACATTGCTCGCTGTTCAGCGCAGTGTGTGCAGGGAGAAGGCAGCGGCCGGATCTGCCAATGGAGCAACTTGTGCGGGCGGCTACAGTACTCTATGTGTTTAGTACTTGAGAAGACAGGCCGATCGACTGCTAGCCGGCTGCCGAAATACCACTTGACGGGCAAGGTAACGAACAACGACAAGGTGATCTGACAGTATCTGTATTACGAGTATGAGCTTAGATATGCATGGAACAAATTATTTCAACTGATTAAACAGCTAGAACAAAGAAAACCCAATTATCGAGGAATTTAATTTAAAATTGAAAGACCCCCATTTTAATTTTATAATTTATTTGAATTTTACAAAAATGGACACCTTTGGCAGCAATGATGGACAAACTATTTTCAATGATGGACACTGTGTCCATTAATGGACACTATTTCAGTCTTTGCTCCATCGTCTTCGGTTAAGCCCCGCACCCTGTACCGTACAATACATGACTTCATCACCGGCCTGTGGTTTACGATGCCACTTTAGGTATGTGGCTTGGAGACCGTAGCGAGTGTACCGTGTCAGCTATCGACACTCATAGCCTAGACTCGATCAAAGCCGACAGTTTGGCCGTTGTCCATCTGAAGAGCGCCCGCGATCTGTTGGCGTGGAATCGCTCCGGTGCGCTGTACGTGGGACAGCGGGACTTCCACGGGATGCCGACAAATGTGTGGGTATCGCAGCGGAGCAACAACGACCCGGCGGAGAACATCACCACCATTATGGAAACTTATTGGCTACATGTGAGTTATTCTCTCTCTGCTTAAGAATAACCTAAGAAACTTAAGTAAAAGAAACCTAAGAATAACCTGTAACTGGCTGTAAGCAAGCTGTTGGTACTTACTTTCCGCAGTAATTCGAAGTTTGTATGCTCTTTTGTTTTTATGCAGGAAAACTGGACGTCTTCCGGTTCCCGGGAGCGCCCGCTGGTGGGAATATCTGTCTGTCGAGCATTCCCCAACGGAACTATCTTCGAGACTCTGCAAAATACTGTCAGCGATTTCAACCCCTTTCCTGTCACCTGGAAACCATTTGCCGTTGCGGACTGTCTGCGGGACGGGGAAGAGATAGCAATCACGTTCGGCTTGAAGGTGCAGAACTACACGGAAGTGGAAATGTAGAAGCCCGCTTTTGAGGTGGTGATGCGCGACGCGCTGTCCCGTCTGACCGGCGCATCGCCACTGCAGTTCAGTGATATCCGGGTTATGGGGAGTAATACTTTGAACGACTCACTTATCTGGGTGAAGGTATCGGACTGGGTCAATATCACCGTCAGTGGGGCCAATGCGATACAGTATCCAAATGTCACGCAAGCGTTCAGCGCTCTGAGAAACTGCTAGACGGTCAAGATGTGTCGTTCGCGATTCAGTTTGCCAACAGAACGCAGGTTCGTACTATTTGCGTAGTAAATACATACAAAGCTGCCAACATTTTAACGAACACACCAAAAACATATACACAGCCTTACAGAGAATGAGGAAGCTTAGGCTCTGTGCGCTCACATAACTACTTACATCCACTGAGATTAAAAATCAGTGTGCAGGCGGTAGAACAGCAATGAGCAATCACATTCACCACAGTAAGTTTGAAGTTTGAACCAAAAATTAGGAAATGACTGTACTGTACGTATTTGCGAATTGAAAACTGAGAATTAGCATTTTCCCCTTGCAGTCTGTGGCATTTCTAAATGATTCGATTCAGATCGCCACTTACATTATGAAGCCGACCACCACACCGACTCGCCCGACAACCATCCGTCCCACGGAGGCGCCTACCGCCGTCGCGCATGAGCAAAATTCGTACCCGCTCGCTACCACCAATAAAGTTTTCCGACTAGCCACCGGTGGCGCATATAACCCCGCTTTCACATACAACCAGCAGCAAATTAGTTTTCTTTTCCTTTCCGTTTTCAGCGCTCTGACTCGTAACTGCGAGTAAGTTAGTTCCACCACTGGTGAATCCAGGCTGCGCTTGATGTTTGATTGTATTGTTTTTTAAAGTTTATCGCCCTCACAACCCTGATTTGCAAGCGTTGCTGTGGAAACGTCCACACTGCATCTGGCTTCACTCTGGTGTCTTGTTTGTGTTGATTGAATCTCCATATGCCGCACTGTTTGGGTGCTGTGCTGCGGAATCTGAGGCATTACCAATGTTTTTGACATAGACCGTCACATAGCAACGGATGTTGTAATGGGAACGCTGTTGGTGTTAATACGCTTTACGTTGGGTGATTGGACGCAACGAAAGTACTGCCGCCAAAGGGAATTATACTGGTGTAAAGCGCATTTCAATTTAGGGTCGAGAAACCTCTGAATTGCTGTCGAAATCGCACGGGTGAGCTCAGCTCGCTAAGCCCCGGCAGGCTTGCCGGCCGGCCATATTACGTGACGACTGTCAAGCAGGGCGCTCGTACTTCCACGTTATTTTATTGGCTATTGCCTCTTGAAATTATTAGAATTACGTGTTTAGTTTATCTAAAGCTTATTAAGTGTCATCTTTCTCAATAGCTGTGTCGTTTTCGATTTTTTTACAATAATAAGAAGTAATTAAGCTCTAATGCGAGGCAATGCTGCCTGTGTACAGGAAACGTTCTATTTCGGTAAGAGGCTGGACGCAGTGTATTACGTACTGCAGCGAATTACTGTGTGATTTTCTGTTTCACCAATATATTAATTATTGTGTACTTTAGAAGTAATTTAAGTAAGTAATTATTATGTTCCTAAAAGCGGTTTAGGTAGTCGTCACATTAGGCGGCAGCAATAGTCGTCACTACTGGTAAGTGGTAACCGGCAAACTGCAGTTTCTCTGGTTTGTGCTGCTGACTTGAGTTGCGCGCTGTGCAGTCGCAGTCAGTGCAAAAACTGCTGGCTCTTGATCTCCATCTCCTGCGTATTTCTTGCTGCACCGAAGGCAAGCGTCGTGCTCAGAAACTTATTCGCGTATTCTTGCGGGTTCTGACTGTCGGTTGTGTGCCCGTCCATCCAACTCGTTGCGGAGATTGAGCAGCACTTCGCTGTGGACGGTGCACATGCCAGATGTGCTGAAGTAATAGTCTGTAGTCATTACAATTGTGTTCAACCTTTCCACTGTCTCCCGCTGGCAGCCTGCCTGGACCCATACTGCACTCGAAGAATCTGTAATGGCGAGTAGCAAGCCCACAACCAGCGTGAATCTCGATGGACCCAGTGTGCAGCGTTCCGCTGAGCCAGGTAGGGTGGTTTGAGGTGCAGGGTTGCCTGCTTTTGCTATTAGATGAAACAGAATACGATTTTTGAAAGATGTACCATATCAGCACGTCTGCAGAGTGCCGAAACTGATTAAGTCTTCGGTTGGTGATGTTGTGCTGTTAGGTGCGTCCGCGAGCGGAGACCAGGAACCGTTCAAAGCGCTGGACGAGGTGAGGCGCTTATCCGCATGCCAGAAGCAGACCACTGTTTAAACGCCCTTGTTCTTGCCCCCTAGACCTGCGCCTGGGTGAAGGCCAAGTGGGAAGAGGAGCGACGGAGCGAACGCCGTAAGCACTGTTGCAAAATTGTGAGTGGTACGCTTCAGTGGGTGCGTTTGCAGAGACGATCAGCACGCTGGAGAAGCGCGTGCAGAGTCGCGAGCGGGTCATCGGCGAGCAGAAGACGGTGCTGGGACAGCTGCAGACCGAGCTGACCGTCAAGGAGCGCACGATTACCCAGCAGCAGGCGCGTGCCGCGGACAGTCAGCGCCGCATCCAGGAGCTGCAGACGCGGCTGGCGGCGGAGCAGCGCCGCGTGGCGGAGGTGACGGCGCGCAATGCCAAGCTCCTGCAGGTCGCCGCGTCCTTCCGCGGGGCTTTTGCCGTGTACGCGCAGAACCGCGATGTGCTGGACCAACTGATGGTAAGCCATTGGGTTCGTCTTGACGATGACGCTAATTTAGTTACCCTCCGCTTTGAAATCAACAGAATTCCCAAGGGGACGGCGGACATCCCGATGCGGCCATCCCGGCGGTTGTGCCGATTCCCGCTCCTGTTATGGTCGCTGCTGCAGAGTAAGGATAGACATTATTTTTGGTCCAATAATCATTAGAAAAATACACTTGACAGCGGAGTTGCTGGCAATGTTGTTCATTTTTTGCTGCATGCTTTTGGATTTATGATTTTCGGGAAAGCAGACGAGTTTTCCTTGCAGAAATCCCGTGGTGGTTGGCCGGGGCGCCGCGGAATCCGCGACCGCCGCACCGCATCCCACAGCGCCGGAGCTCCCGCTGGAAACGGTCGCCGAGCACGTGGAAATTGACACGGCGCCGCCGCTGCCCGGGGCGGACGACCCGGGCGTGGACACGCCGCCCGTCGTCTCCAGCGAGCCCTCCCCGGAGCCCAGCGCCGCGCCCCCGCCCTGCAAATCCATCCTGGTCACGCCCCCGAAAACCATCAGCCCCGCCCTCGTCTACCGCGCCAGCACCTCCCCCTCGCCCTCGGAGGAGCCCCGGCCGGCCAAGAAGACGGTGACGTTCTCGGCGCTGCCCGTGCCGCTGAAGCGGAAACGCGCCGAAACCCTGGCGGCCGGCACGGTATGCCCGGTGTGCCTGCTGGAGTACGGCGACGCCGGGGAGCTGCGCCGGCACGCCTGCCCCCTGCGGCCCTCCTTCCCCTGCACCGCCGACGGCTGCCACGACAGCTTCCAAACCGAGTCCGGCCGGCGCCGCCATGCGCGGGCGGTGCACGGCGAGTAGCCGCCCCCGGGCAGCGCCGAGTGAGGGACTAGTGCCGGGGATGTCGGTTAAGTGTGCGTCGTCAGGAGTTCCCTGTTGCGCGCTCGGTTTAATGTTAATCTCGCCGGTTTTACTGTTACTAACTGTTATTGACTAAATTGTCTGTTTTCAAGTGTTTTCCTGCGTTTTCTGATTTATTTGTTGTTGTTTTATGGGTGTGGTTTCATGTTGGCACTAATCTCAGTAATTTTGTTGAATTCCTAACCTTCCACCGATCTTACAGTATTAAAACGATTACGTTCCGTACGACCGACTGTGATCGAACAAATGGTGTCAATAGATTCATATATCCTTACGTCCTTATTTTTTGGAAATTATCTCCTAAATCAAGATTGATTTTTTCAATAAGTTGATATCTTTATAAAATAAAGCATCACACAAATGTTTCTACCTTTATCTTTAAAAAAATCTTAAGGTTTGGAGAAGGTCTAAAAAAATTTTTAAAAGTTGTAGTACTTAAGGGTTGTTAGTACTTAACTGTTGCTATTTTTGGAAATTATCTCCTAAATCAACATTGATTTTTCCATTAAGTTGTTAATTTTATAAAATAAAGCATCTTCCAGAGCTTCCTACCTGCAGCTTGGAAAAAATTCTGGTTTCCGGAACGTTTTCAGAAACCCTTTCAAACTTTCTGTACTTAGCGTTTAAAGTTCATAGAAATTTCCAGTAAATTCTGGAAACGTCTCGAATGAGCAAATACAAGTTTCGCAGCTTAGCAACTGTACATAAGAAGAAATAAATCACCCTTTCTCACAACCTAATGTACGTAGAAGACATGAAAGCACGTCAGCAATATTGAAATACAGATTTTGCATTGCAATCACAACGAAAACACAACAGCAAAATTACAACAAAAACACTTCAGATAAGCCGTCAGTGTCCGGTAAGGTGCCCATAACGCAAAGCGCGTTTCCTCTTTGAATCTGTATCTGTCGGAAAAACTCTTTGGAACGTGGTTGGCCGGTAGCCTGAGCGATCCCACGCCCTACACGGTCCACTAGGCTTTTCGCGCCTTCACCCTGTGGGCCGTATATTTCGAACGCAGCAGCAGTAAAGTTGTATCGCGGAGATAGCCAAGCGTGCTTGAGTCGCTTAGCGTTCTCGGCAATTTCGGCAGCGGCTCCAGCTGTAACAGCGGTGCGGTCGATGTATGTTGCGGCTAACGTGTCTACGCATGTAACATCGATCGCGAGTGGCTTTCCATGATCCCATGGGATTAACGTCACTACGTCCGGGCGTTTTCTGTCAGCCTTCGATAGACCTTTTGGTTCCGTTCTGGAGGGAAACCCAGCCATTTTCAGCCCTCGAGCGAATTCGGCGCTGAGTCCGTCGTGTCTGGGGAGGCGTCCGGCGGAGCGTTTACAGCGAAGACCGTGTCTGCCCAACTCGTCAACCTCTGAGCCACAGACGCACGTGTGCGGTGTTACAATTGGTGCGGCTATCCGGAGAGCGACGCTGATCTGGAAAGCGGTGTCTTCCAGCAGGTTTTCCAGACAGGCGGCTGGAAGAGCGTGCAACCAGGCTCCGGATTCCGGCGTCGACATCGCCTTGAAGTGAGCTTTGTCCTCGGGTTTAACGCGGATGCTTGACAATCTCTTATGCGACTCCGTGCAGACCGGAGAGTCCCAGGCTTTCTGCACGTGGCGAAATGACTCTGCGGGCGGTTCAGCTGGGCCGCTGAGCTTACGCCATGCCTGAACGGCGGCAATGGTGTCAGTTGGTGCGGCTGTTGAGCACAGGCCGGCTATCAGGGGACGGAGCGAGGAAGCCGATGCCAGATAGGCGGAAGGTGCTAGCTCCTCGGTGCGTCTAATCCCTAAGCCGGCAAAGCGGACGGGCAGCGATGCCTGCAACCAGGTCGGGTAACTCATCATAACGTTACAAATGGACTCGAGTGCTTCCCGGTACATCATATCTAGCTTGAAGAGTTCTTCCGGGAACATCCACGCTAACGATGTCCGGAGGACGTGGAGTATTTTTGGTACTCCTAATGCGTGTGAAAGCAGAAACAAAGCCTGGTGTTTGGGAACCAACTGCAGTCGTGCGGCCATCATGTGCACTTCCTCCGTCTTTTTTGCGATCCACGGTGATACACCCGGTGGGAGTAAAGGTGTCCCCAGTAGAGTAAGCTGATCCGCAGAGACAACTGCCAATCCGGGGTGGTCAGCCACAAACTTCGCTGCGATTACGTTGCGCTGCTCTGCGGTGCCGCCACACAAAAACAGTTCGCATTTGGAAATATTCACATCCAAACCGATCTTTCTTGCTTCGTCGATCAGCAGCTGGAAGTTCTTTTGCACATTTTCGGGGATCCCGCCCATTGTCCCATCATCCTTAGCAACCAACAGATCCGTGTATGTTATTTAAATTGTCATTTCCATCAAAATTATAACTTTTTCGAATTCTTGAAACCTTTAAGATGTTTTTAAAATATGTTCGAATACCTCAAAATAACTATTAATTTTTCCAAAGTCGGCTTCAAAGCTTTTACATTTCCAGAATTTCTAAATATTTCGACTCGGCCCCGCGCAGCGGGGCCGTTACCTCTAATTTTTTGAGCCTCCAGAGTTTCGAAACTTCAAAAATGTCTAGAAATGTCTGAGTATTTATCTCAATATCTCGCGGTCTTAAGGGATTTGGCCCGGTACATAGCACCAAATTTGTATATATATTCACGGCAACTTCCGCTGTCGCGCGCTCCCATAACCCTATTTCTCATAACGGTCCTCATACTCATAACCCTATTCCTAATTCAGAATTCATACTCAAAACGGCTTTCATAATCATAATCATACTTTGATCCTACCGGTTATCAAATTTTTGTTCATAATCATAACGCAATCCTTTACCGCTACTCCTACCAGTGCGCTACTGCGTTTAATGTTATTAGTAAAAGCATTATGTTATTTATTAATCGTAAAAACCGTATTATTGACACTAAGTAGTAATAGCTATTGCACAAACTGTGCACCGTTCTTGAATTTTTTTAAATATTTTTTTTCATATCTGCTTTTGTCCTGGCTAGCAACGATTAAACTGCGTTATTACTGTTCCTGTGCTTCGTTGCTGTACTACACGATGCTCTTGTCGAAATTTAGTTTTGTGGAAATGAAAGGTTAACGGCCCGTTCACTTTTTGTTTGGTGGAAGCTACGTAGTCAGCCCATTAACATTTCAGGCTTTTTTATCATTAGCACTAGTTTAAAAAATGGACGAAAGTGGACAACGGTTGATTTTCTTGCTCAGTTTTTATATGCAGATTAAATTATTTAGCTTTCGTTACTCAATTCAAGTTTACTGAAGTCATTCTGTAATGAAGCCATTTTCTAAAAATAATACTTTTTCGCTACTAATTCAGATGAAATAATTTTTACGAGTGGACGAAAGCGGGCGGTTGAGTAGACTTACAGTACTGGGTGGCCGAACAAAATGTCGGTCTGTTTCTTTGAAGTGTTGCGGGCTTATACAGCCTTTAATTGACAGCTTTCTAATTTCATTTGAAAGAACAGTGTTCGTTCCATATGAAAAATAAGAAAAACCGTCATTATACAAAGCTTTGAATTTTTTACATTAATTCGTTTGAAAAAATGGGTGGAGTTGATGGATGTCCCAGAACCCCAAAATAAAATCTGCCATTTTCGATTTCAAAATCACCGCTATTTGACGAAGTATTTTCATGGTGTAACTTTACGATTTCGGATAGGGGAAATATTTCTTGTTTTTTTCCTCGCAAAAACCTGTGACCTTTACTGGTTGCGTCCGGGCTAGAAGCGGTAAGCACAAAACCCGCATATATGATTCTCGTGAAATCAGCTAGCCGGTGTTCTAATAATAAATTTCTCTCCAACGCTTCAAAAACTGATAAGGCTTAAACATGTTTCTCTAAGAGCAATCCTTTAACTACATTTATCATCCAAATCGGCTTACCTGGTTGCAGCCTTTTTTGCAACAAAAAATTTTCCCTAAAATAAGCGAAAAAATTTGACAAAAAATTTGCAGTTTTTCGAAAAGCCACAAAATGCGGGAACTACATAGCTCATTCAGAGCATGCACCATGCCAATAATTTTTTTTGTGAAAATCAGAATTTTTTCGCTAAGTAAATCAGCTGAAAAGATTACAATATTGCGCGGAAAAAAGTATCACTAGATTCACAAGTTTGCGAGCTGGGACAAAATAAATTTCCAAACGCTTTTAATTAACACCGTTATTAATGAGCATGTTTTAATTTTCTGAAATAGATTTTACTGTATCTAGTAGCCAAAATAAATTTTCTATCGAACGACTGTAACTACTTTACGGTAGGACGAATGGTTCCCGAGAAACAGACCAAAATATGAGACCGACATTTTGTTCGGCCACCCGGTACATGGTTGTAATTGAATATTACATTTTTGACACACCAGCATGAGTAATGGTTAAGATATGAGCTGTAATTATGAATAAATTAATATGATGACCGGTAGGACCAAAGTATGATCATGATCATGAGGGCCGTTATGAATATTAGGTACATACAGAGGGTTATTCAGCCAGGTGTGTTCACTTTTTGAAAAATTTATATTTAGTCCCCACAAGATTATATTGCTTTTCCAAATATTTTATCGGATAACCACAACATTCAGTCGTAATAAAAATATGATTAAGTTTAGATTTCATTATCCTTTGACTCAAGAAAAAATTAAATGCCTGACAGACATGTTGCCAACAGTCGACCAGTTCAGGTACTGCAACTGCCGTGCCTTTGAATAAAAAATCCCTTAAAATTTGGGTTCACAAACTATTCCATCGAAAACGTGTCAGGGGTATTCAGCAAACATTTTTCTGATGGATCAACTAGTTTTTTTTACGATTGGGAAGCAGCCCCGGTTGGGTCGGCACTGCGTCCCGGGAGCACCATCCTGGTTCGGGATGAAGGTTTCTTCCTCGCCTGGCTCGAGGCACGGGACGTTTTTCGCAAACAGTAAACCTTTAAAGCGATCAATAAAGACCTCCACTACAGCTTTAGTTAGTGGGAGGACGAAAAAGATTGCTGCATTTCGGTGTGTAAGCTTTCGCACAACGGGCATGGTTCCCGCGGGTTTGTTCCCTTTTTCGCGTTTTTTCGAACCGTTCCTACACACTTACTCGCGAAAGCATTACATCGGTTTCCCCATAAAATAATCCGGATCAGCGTTTTTTCAAGTTATAAACGTGTAGATTCGAGAAACGGACTTGCCTTTTGAAACCAGCCAAATAA